GTAGCTGTACCGATGTTGTCCGTGCCAAGCATCTCTTCCCTATAGCATTTCACCTTTAAATATTCTTCCCCGGTTAACTCTTCGAACTCAAATTTCTGGTTCCAGGCACTCTCCGCTGCGTTCACTATCTTCGTCTTTTGTATAATCTACAAACCATTCAAGAACATGCCAACTTCTTAAGATTTTTAGATCTTGCAATGGCCATTTTGAAGCAAAATCATGAAGAGATTACTTACTTTTCCGTACTGTAACTTGACAGAGGCATCACATTTTCCGGACTTATCTTTAGATACAAGGTTCTTTCCAGCCAAAACCGTCACAATAATTTTCCGGCCGGTTTTCGAGAGGAGGGTAGACGAGCTGTCGAGGGAGTGTAATGAACTCGAATTAACGCTATTCAAGCTATGTGAGCCATCAGAGAAATGCCATTCTTTTAGAAGTAGCCTGACCGTCAACTAAAAACCAAAAGAACAAAGAAAGTGGTCAAAATCATAAAAGAGTAAGAAATTTGGAGAGCAATAATACATTAGAAGAAACTGTATTATCTACCTCGCCGGAGCTAACTCCTTCAAACGGAACAACCATCTCGATTTCTTGACCACAGAACTCAGCGTGTTTCGCAATCACACTGTTATCAGATCCAACGGCCCAAAACATCGTTGAATCATCACCAACGTATTTCAGCTGTACAGAAAAAGATGAAGAACATGTAACGGCCAGTAACAGCAACTACTTAACTGCTTTATTATTCCTTAATTTACCTTAACTTCGCAGCTAGCGAGACTGTCGTATCTGACACTCCCAGGATTATTTTCATAGAGGTTAAACTTGAGTGTCCCTGTATTGTCGTGTAAGATCATGTTAAATGTCGATTGATAAGCTGGATTCGGTCCTGACTTCATCTCGGTTCGTCGAGAAAGTTGTTCGAGTTCGACCTCGACAAATGTCTGAACAGGTTTGCTGCTGCTATTTCCGCTGCTACCGTCTCCAATTTCAGAACTTCTTGACGGGCTTCCCCGAAGAATCCTGCGGTTAAGATTGTTACCAGAGACAACGATTACGTAGATGATTCCCCCGATGGCTGTTTTGTGAAGATCGGTTGCGGGTAACGAGAAACATCCCCGGCGTGGCTCTACCATCTTCTTGTTCAAAGTTTCCGTTAGAATCTTTACCTGAAAAGGGAGAGAATTACGGTTTTGCCCTTTGTAACTAGTAATTTTGGTGGTAAAGTTTGGGAGAAATGAAAATGGAAACGAACCAGCCAAGAGGAGACACCGGGGAGCTCTGTCGCGGGGAGAGATTGGCCACCGCCACCACCGAAAGCAACTCCGATTCTAACTTCAGGATTCGATACAAAGGAATAAAGCAATGCTTTTCCTTCAAGAATTGGTCTGATCAGAATCTGCAAGAATATTTAGTAAATAAACCAAATCCTACGTAGAGAAATAATTTGCTTTCTACGAGTTTTATGAACTTTTAGGAAAACAAAAGTTTTGCTTACATCGCCCTTGATGCAGAGACTATTGACAACGATTCGTGCTGTTCGATTAAACGGTTTGGATAACTTGGCTTGCAACAAAATACTTAGATCCATTGTGTCCCAATTGAAATCCAATCGCATAATTTTCTAAAGAGAAGAAAAACAAAATGTCAAACATCAAAATCCAACCTTTTTTAAATATTTGAAGTTTCATGGTAACTAAACCTGTTCCCCTGATTTTGACCAACAAGTTCCATGGAGTCCCAGCAAAGGAGGGCACGAGCCAAGAGAAAACTCCAACAATTGTATATTTTCCTATCGAAAACATACGAATTAGCATCACTGTGTCCAATGTCTTTAAAAAGAGGTCTCATGGAAAAGGATAGAGATTGCTTACTATTAATCTTGATCTTCGTTGCCTCAATCGTTTCTACGATTTAGATAAAACGAGCAAAAGTTAATGTTTTATTGCTTTTAAAGACCCAAGGATCATAAAGGGGAAGCTCGAGTTTACGGGCATAAACACATGTTAGTAGAAAGAGCATAACTAAGAATGAATATGACTCACCTCCACCATAGAAGAAAATCTGAGAGAGAGTTTCTTGTTCATATAGTTTAACCAAATTTCAGACAGTAACTTGTTCAGCCATTGACAATGTTCCAATGGAGTTATCGTCTAGAGAAAAGGCAAGAACGTGGTATTCTTAAAACGTCGAGCAATACAACGAGAGTTAACGAAACCAAAACAAAACTAGGGTAACAGAAATTCTTACCGACGCATTGAAAACGGTTTGCCTCCACTTCTTGGTTAGATCTTCAGCAAGTATTGCCCTTTGGTAACTTCCATACTACAAAGAAAAACAAATGAACACAGCAAAACTTTAACTTTATGTTCAGATTTGTGCATAGGAACACACTTATTAAGGCTCTTGAAAAATTTACCAATGAAACCTTATTTTAGTAAAACACAAACACATGAGCGAAACTTTAATCTAATCTACCTAAGATTGTAACTCTTCTTTCCTGAAAAAGCAATTTACCATAACTATCTACAAACTGTTGTTGTGTATGCCAAGTTTGAAAATGTTAGGTATACACCAAAAAGCATAAAGCTTCCAACTTTATCTGAGGATTCTAAAGTATCAGATTAAACGGATCCAGACAAAATTATCAAAGGGACAAACTTAAACAAGAGAGGACTTATTAATTTATAAGCTTTGAATATCAGAAATCAATATACAAACGAACTAACCTGAAGAGAAGCCCAAACGGCGACAACGAGAGGAACCCAATTGGAGAAAGCAAAGACCCATCTCTCAATTGCCCAGAAAGCTAAGACCAAAGGAACCAGCACCAATAACGAATGTCTCTCAGCAACTAGATGATTGATAAATTCTCTCACAGCTTCCGTGTTTATCAGACCTTTCCTCTTTATTCTCCGACCCATCTCTTTAATTCGCCTTCAAGCTTCTTCACAAATCCATAAGTCAGTCAATGAAATTTCTCAAGAAGATTTATTTTTTCCGGGAAAATCTGAAGTGGCGAAAGTAAGAAACTTTCCTTGCGGTGCTTATTTCTCTGTTTTTAATTATCACACCATTTGATTTCTTCAACAAACTAGAGAGAGATCCACGGTGTTTTTAAGTGAACAAAATTTCTGGGAAAATCTGAAAGAAATCTGTGGGAGAAGTTTCGAATAAAAAGGATTTTTCTTCAGACAAGAATTACGATCTCCTAGTTACTTGTCGGAAACTCTCTCACAGCTTCTCTTGCATAGAGAGGTAACGGATCTTTAGACAGATTGAACAGTGTCTGTGCAAAGCTAAATCTCCCATTAAATAAAGACTTACTATACAAAAGGAATAATCCAATGATATTTACTCTGCCAAAGATTTTTTAGTTTATCAAAAGTGAAATAAAAAGAGGCATAATATTATGTTATTATGATATAAGATTTCACCAGAATATATTATTTACTGTATGGTTGATCTTTTGGTCAACGGTGTTTAATCACTTAAATTAACAAAAACACTCCACTAGTATTGTAATTAATACTACTACTACTACTTTACTTAGTCCAGCTTTTTGGTCTTACGTCATTTATCTGAAGAGATCGTGAGCGTTTATAAATTATTAGAGAAAACAAGAACTGTCCGATGTGCTTGGCCGCCTCTTATTGACAAGTAGTTTACTTCACTGGAGGTCAGACAGACTCAGACATCATTTTAACGTTGACTATTCTGATTGTTAACAGACGCGTGATGATTGGAGATCTGATAGGCACATTTTGTTTTTATTTTTGTTATTATAGTCTTCGTCAAGGGATACAATAATATTTTACTTTTCTTCTTGTATAATTCCATAGGATACAAATTTTCTAAATATATTTTTCTTATCTTATAGTACTACTTATCTTTTTTTTCTTTTTCTTTTTTTTTTTTTGCTGTCAAGGATGAGAACTAATTGAATGAATATCTCATTGCTTTCCAGATATATTTTAACATATATGTTACGGTAGAAAATGAATTAAGACGAGTAGAAAGAGAAGTTGTTTAAGTTGTAGACAGGTAAATGAAGTTCTAACGCTTGCAGTAGAACTCGAATATGAAGTTTTGATTCTCGAGTGTCCCTCATGGCTGCAAATCAACATTCCATATTTGTACTATCAAAAGTTATACGCTCGATTGTGTGGATGTTTAAGGCAATTCAGAACGAAATTCTACGGAGCGAGAATTTCAAAAATAGAAAAACATGATTATTTATGTCCTATTTAAATTTTAGGACGGGATCGAGATTGAACGGGATGGGATGAGAATTTCTAAAAAAATGACGTATAATATATTACAATTAAAATAAAACATTGCTTGCAATCGTATATTTAAATGTTTCTTTCAATTTGTCTAGCATAGCATGTGCCAAATAAAAGATTTTGGGACGGGTAAAGTTTATTTTGTGATGGAAATGTTGGGAAATTTGAGTATTTTCGAAAACATAATAGTGAAATATTGAGAAAATAAAGAAAATATAGATAACTTCCACTAATTATGTAAAAATTAAATACCTAAACGAAAATACATAAAATATGGGTATTCCATCCGAATCCTAGACCTACACGATATACAGTCACAAACGAGTACACTAACGCTTATGTGATTAAATGTGTGTGGTAGATATGTGACCATAAGAATTTTTTGTCTCAAAATTGATATGTCTTTTCTCTTTCTCTTTTTAATTATGTAATTGTCTTTACTGTAACCAAAAACAAATCCGATTAATTATTTTGTCTAAACCAAATTAAAACTAAACCGAATACCAAACTGATATGAGGTAGGATAATGAATGTTATACCAAATAAATACATCTACAAACATAACTCCGCACGAACGTGCGGGTCCGAATCTAGTAGAGTATTAATTTATAGAAGTTTTACTGTATTTATTATTATATAGTAGCAGATTTGAATTTGATGATGAAAAAACCTTGAAAAAATAAGGTCTCTATCGGATTAAACCATCTCAAATGTTCACAAACTTCTCATTGGATCATGATTTTACTAATACAACAACAAATGTGTCTGACTCAGTGAGTTCCAATAACAGTCTTAAAACATGGACATATCCGGAGGAGCTCCATACATTACATACTCTTCCACGAATACGGTATCAGCCATTTCCCACCTTCTTCCCCTGCATAGAAAGAAAATTTATAGTAAGTTTCATCCGCTTCCATTATTAATTGCTTGAGATGTTATTACCCTTGAAAGAAGAGAGCTATTTACCATGGAACTTGTCCCGTAAGCTTAGATACAGCCTCCGCTAGAAGAAATGCTTCAGAAATGTTATCTCCTTCAGAACAGTAACATAGCAGGCATGTAACGCCCAGGCCTAGGTGTACCAAAGCGCCTGCATGCATATAAGTTTCTTAGTAATCAATAAATCAATAATTTAGAAATTGAACACAGATTATTTCAATGGTAAAGTGGGAGAACACGAGGAAAATTCCGAACAATGAAGGTAATAACACCACCAACGGAGTTCCCCTTTGTTCTTACATGAACAAATGCAGCTATCATCTTTTCAGCAAACTCGAGATGAGGACACCTGACGATATTACTTTCTATCTGGCACGCAAGCAAGTGAAGCAAGGTTGTTGCCAATGCAAAATTATCAAAAAAAACGACAAACACTTGTCGTGGAAAAAGATTATAATAGTGTATATGGAAATTGCAGCTAGCAAGAATCTTCCAAAAAGAAAGATAAATTAACCACAGCATTCCATAGTCAAATTCTCATGGTCTACTAGATGCCCTGGAATACAACCTGGTGGACATATAAGCAAAGAATCTGGATATCCAACAGCAAGTGAAGATGCAACATATTAACGAGCTGTGCTATCTGTAGTAAAACTGAGTCGAATAAAAAGGGAAAATCTCATTTGTGAAGATAACCTATCATAAAAGAGACTACTTTGAGGTAAGAGAATATATGCACCAAAAATGTGAAGGATATGTAAAGAGTTTCGAGTAAATTGAAACTTGAGGTGCAATCAGAAAACTTACACACTTGAGTTCCTAAATATGCTCTAAAAATTTCTTGGCCAAAGCTCCAGGAGCTACTCTTTCAATGGTCTCTCTAGCTCCTGCCACGCATGAAGAAACAGAGAGACTTATTTGAAAATACTTTCAATTCAAATACTAATCCCAACCAAGATAAGCAATATACATATATATAAAGTTTTGAACAAAAGAATGCCCGTCATTACCTCGACTGATCTCACTCTATACTTGATGTCATAAGTTGCATCAGTAATGTGAAGGCTTATATGCAACAGACATCTGAGCATTTTCTTCTATAAACAAACCCTAATCCGATACACAGAAAGCTAACACAAGGATGATGCGAGTGAAATAACAAACTTAATCAGAGAAACTCACTCACAAATGAATCGGGTCGGGTTGATCCTTTAAGGGAAATGGACAGAAGAAGAAGAAGAAGCCATTGTTAAATTCAATATCTGATGATGTAGAGAATGGTTATGGCGGTACGGTTTAACTGGTTCAGACCTCTCGACTACTACGATTCAAATGTTAAATTCGATTCATTTCTTCACGATTATAGTTACAGATAACGGAACTAAACAGCAAAAAATGGAAATTAGTATGTGATCATCCATAATTATCTCAATTAATCATTTACATTTTGAAGTTTAAACCTGGATTTTAGCAACCTAGTGGCGATAATCTCTAACCGTTTATTAGCCTCATAAACTAATCTACATGATTTACTTACGTGGCACTAAGTGCTCACTTGAAACACTCACCAGAATACACGTGGCTCACTGTAACAGCCAGAAAAGAAGTACCAAGCTTATATAAAAGCCAACATCTCCTCCACTCTCTCATATCTTCCAAATGAATCTAAATTTTGTCATTTCGTTTTACTTTCAATAAAAAACTTACTTTTGGTTATGTATGATTCGTTTGTTTATTTAATCAAAAACGTTACACTTTCTCTTATTTCTTTATTATATATGAAATGAGCTCAACGTTTAACGACTACCATCACCATCCAAAGAGAGAACCAAATGAAAACAACTCCGGAATCTTATACACTCCCTCACCGTCACCGTCACCGTCACCGCCGACGTTAAAAGTCAACAAAGACTCTCACGTTATTAAAAAACCTCCGTCTCCGTCGTCTTCCTCCTCCGCGGCGAAGCCTCGTCACCCGGTGATCATTTACACACACACTCCCAGAATCATACACACTAATCCTAAAGATTTCATGGCTCTTGTTCAAAAACTCACCGGAATGTCCCGCTCCGACGAAGATCCCGGCGGTAACGCAACGACAGATCCCGGGGGAAAATCAATCAACCGGACTGTCTCTGATCTAACCGTCGACAGAAAAAATAATCGGAATCGTTGCGGCGGAGGTGGTGGCAATAATAACTACAACAGAAGCTTCTCCGGTACCGGAGCCGGAACCGGAAACGGAAAGGGGATATTTTTTAATAACACGATGATAAGTGAAGATAGTGAATCGTCGTCAGTGATAACAACTGATGAGAACATCGGAGAACATGGACAGGTTAATTCTTCTCTTCCGTATTCGGCGGTGGCTATTCCTCCACAGCCACCGCCTCATCCTCCTCCGCCACCGTCAATGTACGACGCGGCGGGGATAAACTACGGTGCTTATTTACCGATTTTCCCGCCGGCGAATCCAACTGATAATTTCTTATGCGGTAATCAGCCGTTTGCGAATTTTGATGATCCGCTTTTCTTCGCGCCTAATATGAGAAGCTCTTTCTCTTCTTCTTCATCTTCTGGCTTCGATGGCTTGACGGAGTTTCGCGATTTTTAAGTAATCCGGCGTTTAAAATAAATTTTGATTTTTTCTCATTGGAGGAGGTCTTGAAAAGGACTAATAAATTTTGAAATTAGTTATAGTTATTTTTCCTTAGTTAAATCCGGTTTTCTTTTTCTTTTTTTTTTTGTCAACCCGGTTTTCTTTATTATACTCAAAACAATTTTTCTGTGATCATTTTCTTAGTTCACAAATTCATTTTTATTTTTTTCCCGTTGGGCATCAAATATAGAACTCTTCATTTTGTTCAATTCGCAGTTTCTTATTTCTTTTGGACTATAATATATTTCTTTTGGACTATAATATAAAAGTGAAAGAGATTTAAAAAAAAAAAAATTGAGATAAGAAAAATAAATTGTCTTTCCAAATTGAGGTAAGAGTTTCGAGCTGTTACAAACATATAAAGGAAATTTGTAAATAATTTTATTGAACTCAAGACTTGGCTCACGAGATTAACTCAATAATACACAAATTTGCATACAAATATAGATACATACATACATACATGTATAAAAAGTATAGATCATAAGTATATATGTACATAAAATACGTCTGTGGCAACTATAGACGTCTCCTCAGTTCTTCTTCTTCTTATTATTCTTGTCATGTTGAAGGACCACTGGAGCCGCCGGTATACTAAACCACCACTCTCTCAACCGCCTTATTAACCGTTCTGTGCTAGCTCTCCGTGGTGGTGAGTATCTTGTGAAAAGCTCAACAAACACTACCGAAAGCAAGTAGCGACCCGGAACAAAGGCCATCATCGTCGCTGCGACCACAATCGCAAGCGCAAACTTCTGGCTCGCCTGAATAGCGGTTTCAAACCGTGGTTAGACACAGCGTTAGGAGAAGTGGTTGTGTTAAATATAAGAGGGCAGGCTGACCTGAGGGAAAAGCGAGAATAACAAAGCTCGGAACTTGAGAAGAACGATGTTTGCGTCTTGAATGTTCTGTTCGAGCTCCGAGATCCCGTTCTGGACTGCCAAAAGTTGTTCCATTGTGTTCATTGGAGGAGGAGCAGTTACTTTCAGCTCGATCATGAGCTTTTCTCTGCTGAAGCATCTTGTGAGAACCATGAAGATTGCAGAGAAGAGAGATGCCAGAGCAAAGACATAAACAAGCCATCCCCTCCAAATTATGAAAGTGGAGACGAGACAGAAAACGCTAGACTTCATAGGATCATCCCAATACAACACAGACAAAATCCAGTTCCCGGTTTCCATTATCGGAAGCATCAGTTCCTACCAAAGAAAAGAGAAGCAATTCAATGTTTTAGACAACGCAGTTACAAATCTTCCTGTCAAACTTTCTTTTCCTTTACCTTCATCACGGCTATGTTGGTGTCAATGCCTTCCATTTTGACTCCATTAATTGTCTCTTGCGCAAGCACTACCTTCTCGTAGTTCTTACGTGACTCCTTCACTGCTCTCTCTAATGGATTCACATCTCCAACCACTACTTCACCCACCACAAGATTATTCGTGTCTCTCCTGCTCCTAGGACTTGACCCTCCAAACACAGAACCCAGCTGCGAAACCACATCAGAAGCCGAGGAATGTAATGTCCCTGGTAAATAAATTTCATACATATTACACATTAACTTCCTCGAAAATTTCATCTTCTATAATCATATAATGCACACGCTTTCAATTTTCACACTCTTGGTCAAGATAAAGAAGATACCATTAGGTATAAGTTATTTTGATAAGAAGTAGTGCAACCTGTATCTTTGGATTTATTTGATCGATGGAGCTCTCTTGAAGTAGACATCTCTGCAAGCGTCTCAAGAATCAGATCTCCACCGGGAAGCTGATCGCAGAGATTGAACGGGAGAAGATTTTCGTACCGCATTGCATTTGTCAAACTGAGTTCTTGAAGAGCTTGCACACGTATAACGCCAAGGACAGCCTTTGAAAGTGCTTCGTCTCTTGCCAAACCGGTGATCTTGTACTTGTTTATGTATCTGTGAACGTATAATACTTCTTGTATAATAGTGAGCCAGTAATCACGGCGTGTGTGGCCTTTAAGCTCTGGGAATTCCATTACCACTGGTTCTGATCTACAACAGATAGCCATTGAAAGCTGTTAACTGACCATTCATAAAAAAAAGAGAGCATGTTTTCAGTTGTACAAGAGATTTCAATCGATTAAATGTAAAAAGACACGGCCTTACAGAGATATAGACTTGTAAGAAACGGCCTTGTCGAAAAGCCGAGTGCCCCAAGGACCAGTTAACTCAGGTTTAATTATTTGCTTTAGATCTTCAGATAGATCATATCGCTTTGGTGTGTCATAAGAAACAACCTTTAAGGCCTCAAAATATAGTGAATGGTCTGTCAGGATTAAGCGACCTGAATAGTATTGTGGCAAAAGTGAGTGGTACGTACACATGCCAAGACTGTGGCTATTGAGAAAATACAAACAGTACCTGGCCACGTTGATATTCCAATATGTTCAAGAACTGGTTGGGTAGTAACTGTCCCGTCTATTTCCAGAATCTTTTCTCTTTTTGATCGAACACCAGAAAGCAAAGATGATTCGGACTGAGTCCTCATCTTCTTTATTGCTCTATAGACAAAATAGACATTTAAAAATGTCTGCAAAGTGATTCAAGACAAAGGAGTTCAGCTTCTAAGGATAGAAAGTTTTACCTCTCAAGTCCATATAAATACTTGTCATAAACGGAGAACTGAAGCCGACCACCCGTTGCTGAAGTAAGCATTTTAAACAGATTTTCACATATGATCACATCAGCTATTATAGGAACTGCTGGTGCGATCCGTGAGAAGGCTTCTAAACTCACTGTTGCATCTTCTTCTACCTATTTCAAAGGACAAAGATGATAAAGAAAAGATTCTTATAAGGATTGCAGAAGAAATGAGAAAAAGAAGCCTTACACTGAGTAAAGCCTGGCTAGCAACAGCTGGGACTTCCCAGACAACCATCATGTCAAATGTTAAGCGCCGAAACTTTTTATCGGCTAGATGACCTGTTACTCCAACAGACAGTGAAAGTGCCCTGAAACAACAGTACTCTAAAAAGTTCCTTGCAAATAGAGAAGGCTGCTTGAGAGATTCAAATGCTTCTTGTTTGAAACTATCTCGCAGCTCGTTTGCAGAAACACCGAGTATTCTGCATCAATAGCATATAGTCAAACAAATATAAAGACAGACCGATAACCTCATTCTGCATCCAATGCTCGCATTAGACTATGTCTAAACACAACCGCATTGTAGTTTTCTTTAATTAAAAATCAAATTTTCTGTTAACCCCTTTCCAGTTAGAGCAACTTGATGTGGAAACCTATTACTATAGCTTATCAAAACACACACTTTTCATACAAGACAAACCCATATATGCCTCTGTAAACTCATACTGCAAAATGCTTACTTATCGATGAAACATACAGATGAATGGTACTTACTTTGAACACCTGCGGACAACCACATTGGCGATAGGAGAAAGCTCAGGTATCCAATTGGTGCCAGCAGATGGGGATCTTCCCATTTCCTCGATTTCTTCATCGAAAGAACTTTGTTTCCCAAGCAACCATTTAAAAGAAGTATCTTTAACCAATCCTTCAAGCATATTCCGGGTTTTACTCGACATACCAAAACTCCTTAGTTAGTCCCTTACCTTGTTTGCCTGAAACAATTAGCAGAATCATTCAAGAAACTAGATTGATTCCCATTATATGAGATTACAAGAACTGATTTCAATGCAAAACTTAATTTGCAATTCAGCTAAAGGTAGTTGGTCGGTAGGTTTGACACAGAAGATATAACAATTCCTAACTTTTATTTTTAAAAAATGACTATGGTTTTGCCTATGCGATCTCTACTGCTTCATTGATCAACTTGAAAGCTAGTTCTAAAGTTTTGCACAAAATTCCAACACAGAGACTAATCAAATCTAGAGCATCGTAGAAGCTGACAAAGTCGAAAACATTCCAAAATCAATAACTCCAAATCAGACTGCTGTTTATTTCACGAAGAGCATTTGATCAGATGATCTCAACGAACCCACCTCAGATCAAACGTTTTAAAAAACTCGGTTTTTTGCCCACCATCCTTACGCTCTCGAATTAGCGATCAAACTTAGGGCTTTTAACTCTTGATTCCTCGAGAAGTTTTCTAATGGGTCCTCTTGATTCTCAGATTCTGCCTTGATTTTGGGTTTATCGAATAAGAAAACACGCAAAGAGAAGCGAAGCACGACGACGGAGGAGGAGGAGAGAGCGACGGATATCGGGAAAAAAGCTCTGATTCGTTCTCGGCCTTGGTGCTTTCGTTAAGACACGGTAAAACGTGTTTTTTTACACGTCAGCAGACTTTAACGGTTCAGATTAGACCAAATGACCGTCTCATTTAATCTTGTCTCTACACGTGTCTTGTAGGAAATAATAATCAATCCAGATAAGTACCTCTTCTGATCACGTGTGATTTTCTTCCGACAAAATTCCGATAAAACACGGAGAGAAAACAACACTTTTTTTTTTTTTTTAAATTTTTCTTTTTTCTTTTTATTTTTATTTTTTTATTATTTTTTTAATTAAAACATTTATTATAATTTTCTCCAAAAAGACCTAAAGCAAATCGGCGTTTCACCGAAAAAAAAAGAAGCTCGCTGTTTGTTGATAGATGCCCGCAGAGTAACCGGAGCCTGACATCCGGCGGGCTCAAGACCCACAGTTTTGTGGCTACAACCGAAGACCGTGAATTTTTCAAATTAATCCACATTCATTAATTAGTGTTGTTTCTCTATGTTGCCATTGATCCTTTTGCTTTTTTAATTTTTATTTTGTTTGTCAATCTATATACTATCGAGCCTGTTTTGCGATCTGCACTCATCTTGGGTATAGTCATGTCCTGGGATTGATCTTTGTAGTTTTGAGTGCTTAACCTGTATTTAAATCTTTTCTCATATGATACGACTCTTATCACATTATTTTTCATTACATTTTCACTACAGAAAACATTTTTCTTATGTTTTGTGATAATTTTATTTTAAATTAGTTGCTCAATAACCAATCACATATCGGAAAGTACATTATGTTTTAACTTAGAAAAATAAATAGTATGCAAAGATCGTCTTCAAATTTCACGGGAAACATATTGAGTATCAGTTTAATTTTAAACTAATTGCTCTATACAAGTTACATATCTGAAAATATATTTTGTTTTAAATGAATAATTAAATATTTTTTTAATATGTATGAAAAATCGCTTTTAAATTTCGCAGAAAACATAAGCACCTCTAACGGAGGTTTTTCAAAGAGCGTCTAAAGAATTAAAAAAAAAAAATTAAAAGTAAGAGAGAAAATGAGACACAATGTCTCATTTGAGAAACTCTAAGACACTGTGTCTAATACTTGCCATCATTTGATTGGTTAAAGTTTTTTTTAATTAATTAAAACTTAAACAAATAATTTATTTATTACAAAAACATTAAATTATTATATTTGAGAAACTTTTATAGTTTATTACCGTTGGAGATGCTCTAAGTGTTGTTGAGTATCGGTTTATCGGTTTAATTTAAACTAATTGCTCAATACCAAAAGAGGAAAGATAAAAACCAAAACCCTAAAATAATATTAAGAGCCACGTTATCTTAATAGATCAAATGATAACATTGCATTGAGAGCCACCTGCTGCCGTTTTCTTCGGTGACCAACGATGACGATACCAAATCTTCCAAAGGATTTGGTAGAGGAGGTTCTCAGTTTTGTTCCGGCTACATATCTGAAACGTTTGAGCTCTACTTGCAAACCATGGAACCGTTTGATCCACAACGATAAGAGATTCGCAAGAAAGCACTCCGATAACGCCGAAAAGGAGTTTCTGGTTTTCATGTTGAGGAGAAACTTCAGGATTTGTCGGCTAAGCTTCAATCTCCATGGAACTGATCCATCTGCAGAGGTAAAAGGTGAGCTTATCCTACCAGATCCGTATTTTAAGAACTCAGCTGATCAATTCAAGATAGATCGAGTCTTTCACTGTGACGGCCTATTGTTATGCACCTCCCAACTCGAACGAAGAATGGTTGTTTGGAACCCGCTTACTGGTGAAACCAAGTGGATCCAAACCCGCCACGAAGGCGGAACCTTTGTTCTCGGATACTCCCAAGACAAGAACAAATTCCGCAGTAAGAGCTACAAAATCATGGGCTTTTATGATCGTAGTTCTGAAATTTTGGAAGTTTACGATTTGAACTCTGATTCATGGAGGGTTCTTGATGGTATCCGTCCAGAATGGTACTTGGGATACGCTTATCGGTGCGTGTCTTTGAAGGGAAATGCTTACATGCTTGGTATAGATATAATAGAAGAAATGGGCTTAAGCCTATCCTTGCTCAAATATGATTTTTCAACAGAGAAATATGAACCTGTGACTCTTCCTTTTCCCTCTCACGCCCATTGTTTTAGGGAAGCTCATTGTCTTTCCGTTGTTAGAGGAGAGAAACTTTCCCTGTTATATCGGCGAGATAAAAGATCCAAGACTGAGATATGGGTGACAAGTAAGATTGATGACACCACCACCGAAGGAGCAGTTTCTTGGACCAAGGTCTTAGCATTGGATTTGAACAGGGAGCTTCAAATTGCGTTTACTTCAAATTTCTTGGTAGACGAGGAGAAGAAAGTCTTCATGTGTTGTGTGAGTTGGAGGGAAGACGGAGACGAGGACAAGTCCAAAGACAAGGTATACATTGTTGGTGAGGATAGTAAAGTCAAAGAAATTGATTCTGGAGTAAATGCAACCACTGGATGTTGGCCAACTATTCTTGGTTATGTTCCAAGTTTGGTTCAAATCGAGAGAGCTGGAATTAAAAGAGGTGACTAAACAAGCTCTACTACATGTAATCTCTCTCTCTTTTGTGTGTGTGTGTGTGTGTTTTCTTAATTTATCTTGCTTGAATACTCATTTGAACTGATATTTTATGAAGATGTTGTACTGTCAGATATTTCAATTAATTGATCAGTGTTCCTTGCTTTAAACACAGTTTTTTAAAGTTTATGATCAAAACATGTCTTGTAGAGCAGATTTCTAAAGAAGAGACCAGAATTATGTTTCAAAATATCAAGCTTTTCTTAGTCATTAACAAAAGTGATTCATTAAACATGTACAAGGCTTTTGTACTGGAGTAAATGCAACCAGTGGATGTTGGCCAACTATTCTTAGTTATGTTCCAAGTTTGATTCAAATCGAGAGAGCTGGAGGGAAAAGGAAAAGAGTTGACTAAACAAGCTCTACATGTAAACTCTTCTTTTTATATTTTGATTTTTTATTAGTTGCTCAAGAACCAATCACATATCTGAAAATACATTGTTTTAATTTAGAAAAATAAATGATTTTTAAAGTTGTATGCAAAAATCACCTTCAAATCCGCTGGAAATATAAGTATTGAGTATCGGTTTATTGTTTTAATTTTAAACTAATTGCTCTATACAAGTTACATATATGAAAATACACTTTGTTTTAAGTTTTAAAAGAATAATAAATAATTTCTTTATGCAAAAATCGCCTTCCAATTCAGCGGAAAACATAAGTATTGAGTATCGGTTTATCGGTTTAATTTTAAACTAATTGCTAATTACCAAAAGAAGAAAGGTGAAAACCAAAACCCTAAAATAACATTCAGAGCCACGTTATCTGAATAGATCAAATGATAATATTTTATTGAGAGCCACCTGCTGCCGTTTTCTTCGGAGACCAACGATGACGATACCAAATCTTCCAAAGGATTTGGTAGAGGAGGTTCTCAGTTTTGTTCCGGCCACATATCTGAAACGTTTGAGCTCTACTTGCAAACCATGGAACCGTTTGATCCACAACGACAAGAGATTCGCAAGAAAGCACTTCGATAACGCCGCAAAGGAGTTTCTGGTTTTCATGTTGAGGAAGAACTTCAGGATTTGTCGGCTAAGCGTCAATCTCCATGGAACTGATCCATCTGCAGAGGTGAAAGGTGAGCTTACCATACCAGATCCGTATTTTAAGAACTCAGCTGATCAATTCAAGATAGATAAAGTCTTTCACTGTGACGGCCTATTGTTATGCACCTCCAAACTCGAACGTAGAATGGTTGTTTGGAACCCGCTTACTGGTGAAACCAAGTGGATCCAAATCCGCGAAGAACGCGGCACCTTTGTTCTCGGATACTCCCAAGACAAGAACAAATCCTGCAATAAGAGCTACAAAATCATGGGCTTTTATCGTAGTGGTGGCCAAGTTTGGGAATACGATTTGAACTCTGATTCATGGAGGGTTCTTGATGGTATCCGTCCAAAATGGTACTCTGGATTCGATTATCGGTGCGTGTCTTTGAAGGGAAATGCTTACATGCTTGCTAAAGATGTAACAGATGTGGGCTTAAGCCTATCCCTGCTCAAATATGATTTTTCAACAGAGAAATATGTACCTGTGACTCTTCCTTTTCCCTCTCAAGCCCGTAGTTTTAATAACGCTAATCGTCTTTCCGTGGTTAGAGGAGAGAAACTTGCCTTGTTATATCGGCGAGATAAAAGATCCAAGGCTGAGATATGGGTGACAAACAAGATTGATGACACCACCAAAGGAGCAGTTTCTTGGAGCAAGGTCTTAGCATTGGATTTGAGCAGGGAGCTTCAAATTTCGTTTAAGACAAATTTCTTGGTAGACGAGGAGAAGAAAGTCTTCATGTGTTGTGTGAGATTGAGGGAAGACGGAGACGAGAACAAGTCCAAATACAAGGTATACATTGTCGGGGAGGATAATGAAGTCAAAGAAATTGATTTTGGAGTAAATGCAACCAGTGGAAGTTGGCCAACTATTCTTAGTTTGTATGTTCCAAGTTTGGTTCAAATCCAGCAAGCTGGAGGCAAAATGGAAAGAGGTGACTAAACAAGCTCTACTACATGTAATCTCTCTCTTTTGTGTGTGTGTGTGTTCTTAATTTATCTTGTTCGTGTTCTTTGAATAATCCCTTGAACTGATACTTCATTAAGATGTTGTATTGTCAGATATTTCAATTAATTGCTCAGTGTTCCTTGCTTTAAACACAGTTTTTAAAGTTAATGATCAAAACATGTCTTTCAGAATTATGTTTCAAAATTTCAAGCTCTAAGTCCATGACAAAAGTGATTCATATAAAGTGTCTTTTCTCTGAGTTTTCTTTTCACCCAAGTAATCACCCATTCACTTTTAAAGTTCTACCACTAAGCCAAGCATGGTATGTTGTAAATATACGAATTGGTGTTTTCTCTCTCTATCTTACAAATACACACCACTTAAAGTTACAAATATTGGACCAAAAAGCAAAAGTATCTATTATCGGTTTATCCGGTTTAGTTATAATTAATTCTAAATTAAATGCACATAACCAGATATATCTCGGGAAAGAGGAATGATGAAATGCCCTAGATTATTATTAAAGAAATTTTCACGTTTAACATGAAAAAAAGATTTGATCTCATGTTTTGGCAAAGTGAGATTCAAATCTCATGTTTTGACAGTTATTCCATATAATGACGAAAATGCCCCTGACGAAAAACCAAACGGCACAGTTACGTTACGGTTTAGTTTCATATCGCGGTTTAGTTACTTTTTGTTTTGAAAAAAAAAAAAAAAAAAAATTCAAGAAAACGAAGAATTCATCATCTTCGTTCGACATCTCCGAGAGATTCGAGAGAGAAGTAGAAATCAGTTCGGAATTCATTCATCCATCTTCGTTTTCGACATCTCCGTTCGAATTGTCTGCTACTTGATTTGAGGCATTGCATTGAACTCGAAAAACCGGCGAAGAGAAAGTTCCAGTTCTTCCGGCGAAGGCGACCTGAGAAACATCCGGCGAGATACCAACCTTCGCGATGGCTGGGAATAAACCAAACGACGTAGTCTCTAGGAAGAAGCATACGCAGGAAGGCCCCGAGAAGGACAAGGTGGAACTCAGAGTATCCCCGAGGAGGAAAATCCCTCCGAGAAATCCGCCGGAGGAATTGGGTAAGTTCCGATATTATTCCGTTTGTAGTTTCTTTGGGTGTATCGGAATCTTAAAGCTTGTTTGATTAAAGGGATAGAAGTTGCCGGATTTTGCTAAATCTGTAGTTTGAAAATTTGAGAAGTTGAATTGGAAATCTCTGTTTCCGCCAAAATTCAGATGTTGAGTATATAATGATGATAATTACTGTGTACGTACACGAATTCATACATCCGTACTTAATTGTATATCACTTGTAATTGCAGGCAGTACAAGCGTGGCTCCGACTGAAGATCTTATAGTTGAAGAGTTACCACCTAGACTCTTTGCCCTAGACCGGTACCCTGTGAAGACGAAGATGAACGCGTACTCCAAACCGGAGTACCTTTCTGACATAGCGCAAGTTCTTAAGGGAAAAGAGGAGATGAAGTTTCTTCTCGAGTCTCCATTTGGGGACCTTTTTAGGATACCTGCTAACAAGTCTTCCTTCTCAGGTAAGCTTGTTCTTGGACTAATATGTCGTCAGTTAGTGACGAGTAAAGTGAATGAGATGTGGATGGTCTTCGGCGGTCATCCAATAAAATTCGGATTAAGAGAATTTAGTCTGGTAACTGGTCTAGAATGTGGGACATATCCCAACAAGAAAGACGTGAGGGATGTGCTAAAGGTTAAAGCTGGTAGTCAAAGTGTCTGGAAAACCCTGTTTGAGGAGAAGTTTGGGGAGAAGGCGAATCCAACAGTGAATGATTTGGTGGTCTGGCTGAAGGAGGAGGAAACCATGGATGGGTGGAAGCAGCTGGCCTTATCTCTTATAATCTTGGTAGATGGTGTGATAGGGTGCCATAATAACCCCATAAGGCCTTCTGAGTTCACTGTTGAGATGACGAAGGACGTGCAATTCTTCTGCAAATACCCTTGGGGAAGGGTGTCTTTTACCCGTACTTTGGAGAGGATAGCAAAATTCCAAACCCCTTCAGATGCTCAAAAACTGATAAGGTGTGTAAAGGATGGGTCTTATGCACTACATGGATTCCCATTAGCACTCCAGCTGTTTGCGTTCGAAACAATCCCATCCCTTGCTAAGCTAGTACCTGATGATGAAGCTAACAGGACATTTACTCAGAGGTCTATCCATCATCTTGCCTCTCTGCGGGCAATCAGGACATCCAGCATCTTGGAGTGTGAGGCTGCTGAAGAGGTATGTACAATTGTTTATGTACGTACATTATTTAAAAAGTAAGTGTACATTCTCTAAGTGGTTAACAAACTTATTGGTGTAGGTTGAGGTAACCTATCTTGTGAAACCAGAGGACAATATTTGTCCTCCATCCCTGTCATGGGATGATGAAGTTGAGGATCCAAGAGTTGCTTACATTGAGCGACTGTTGTTAGCTGGTCATGAGTGGAAGGAGGAAGAATGGGTTGGAGGTAATGCTGCATTTCCAAAGCAGGAGCGCCCACCACAACTTGGAGAGATACGTGAGTGTAAATGTTGTTTTTATACTTTCTGATTATTGTCCCTTGAAGACCAATCAATGATTAAACTGGTCTATCGTAGGTGTGAAGAAGAGGAAAAGAAATGTACCAGCCCCGAATGCACATGCTTTGAAAAAACAGAAATCTGTTGTGGAAGAAGAAAATGTGGACACTGTTGAGGATTGTTCTGAAGATCCCCAGTTTGAGAAGTTTGTAGTTGAACTTAGGAGGTGTTTCAAGAGGCAGGAAGCACAAAATAAACAAATGCAAGAAGACTTGAAGAAATTTGTCCGTAAGGAGATTCGTGCTGCCTTAGTTCCAAAGGTCAAAAAGACAGAACCAACCAAAACTTCCCATGCTTCACAGGGCCCAAATAAATCGGTGGTTAAGGCACCGATGAGTGTGACGAAGGCATCTAAAAAGATGTCTACAAAGAAAGTCTTCAAGTCTGGAACAAGAAAGTCTTCAAGGCTGAATAATATAATGACGTCAGTTGCTGAGATTACTCAGCTTCCTGATGGTAACTCTTCCTCTGAGGAAGATGACCAGGTATGGCATGTACGTACATTTATATATAGTATTTTAAATGTACGTACATGAAGATTAATAACTGTAACTTGTCTGCTATGGTACAGGATGAAGCCAACAATGAAGGTGGTTTTTCTGTAAATGATGGAGGAGATTTTTCGAACAGAGACGAAGGTATGGTTGACACTGGAGTAGCTAACATTTCAGTTGGTGGACCTACACCTTCCCATCAGGTATGTCGTGTACAAATATTTTTTTCAATTATTTCCAGTTGTGTACGTACACATAGGCTTCAGAAGTGTATGGTATACTATGTTTCAGGATGAAGGAGCACGTGATGGTGGTGAGTCTGTCCTTGTTGGTACACAGTCAGGGACCGAGGAAAAAGCTAGTGCTGACACAGAGATGGAAGAAATTCCATCTCATGTACCTTCAACCTCTGTACAGGTATGTCTTGTGCTAATAGTCACATACTGTTTTCCATAAGTGTACCATTATCAATTATTTTCAGTTCTCCACGTACATATAGCTTAAGAAGTGTATGGTATACTATGTTTTAGGATAAAGGACCAATTGATGGTGGTGAGCCTGTCGTAGTTGGTACACAGCGAGGGACAGATGAAAAACCAACTGCTGACACAGAGATGGTAGAAAATCCATCAGGTTTACCTGCAACATCTGGACAGGTATATGGTCTGCTAATAGTCAAATGTAGTTTTCCATATGTGTACTCACTGAATGACGTGTATGGTATATTTGTTTCAGGGAGAAGAACATGGTGCCGGTCTTGAGAGTGAAGCAAATGTTGGGGAGCAACCAGAAATTTCTGAGGATAATGATAGAGATACATCTTCTCAGGCTGAACACACCGAGGAACCCGGTGTAAGTGTACGTACATTTGTCTTTCTTATTTCCCGTGTACGTATAAGTAATGATTGTTTCAGACATCACAAAATAGAGTATATAGCCGATGAAGTTGATAACTACTGCCACAGGTTGATGCGGGAGATGTACCCAATGTAGTTGCAGAGAGTAAAGTGGATGACTCAGTACTTGAGGGCACCCTAGGGGATCCCCCTTCACCATTTGCAGTAGTTAGGAATGTAAGCTAACTATATTTTTAAATAAAATAGTGTAGTGTAGGCTTGTTTAAATTTATAATCTTCTATTATGCAGGTGTTACAGGAGTTGGCAACGAAAGCCTCCATGGATGTGGATGCAGCTAATGTAAAGGAGGTAAAAATCTCGTGTTTGGTTTAAAATTATACACAGTTATTAACATACGTACATAGGATTGTATGCGTACATTTAAATAATTCTGCATGTTAATTTGAAAAGGGAGTGTTGGAGCAGCAGGGGATTATCGACGGGGTGGAAGAACAAGAGGATTCAAACCCAGGGTTAGATGAAGCAGACACGACAGTTGGTACACTAGAAAATATTGTGAGTATCTTCCCAGTAAATATTATCATTACATTTTGAAATTGTTTAATCATGCTGTTTACAATAATACTTCTTTACAGGATGAACCAAACAACGATGCTTCAGTCGAAGCAGTTAAAATTCCTACGCCGGTTGTACCCAAAAAAATGAAGAAGCAAATAATTGTTGAGATGGATGACGCCCTTCCGGAAGGTTTTAAGGAAACAACAGTCCTCGTGCAGGATGTTCCTGGACGAGCTGAAGATACAGAGGTGGTTATAGCGGCTGGAAATGTCCCTTACAACCCCTTGGAGAAGGTTGATGCTTCCAAATTAGAGATCTTAACCAATGTCCTCCGCGGTCCGAATGTGTAAGTATCGTGCATTATCAAAATTATCCCTTAATTGATACATTGGTTTTCTATAAAAACCAGGCATACTATAATATTGGATATACAGGAAGCACACTCTTTTCGGGTATCGCAAAGTGGACAACGAGTTTTTCTCCATGCTTATAGCAGAAGGACAGTGGGTGGATAATATGGTAAGTTGAAATAGTACATTTGTGTACATTTTTTAAATATGCCTGAATTGTACGTACACTGACTGCCTATGCTATTTTCATTTCAGGTCTTGGAAATGCTCGCAATCTTGATGTGGCACAAGAACGGTCAACAAATGATAGCAAACCGATGCGTTGTTTTGGACTCCTTCCTGCTTTATGAGCTTACTAAGCGTGCTGTCAGCTTCAGGAATTGTAGAAATAAGCATGGGTTCAAATGGGGCGACCGGCTATACGACATGGCCAATGGAATACACATACACCGTGAACCTAGTCTTAGGTGGTTCAAGGATGTCGACGTGGTATATGCTCCGATGAACTGGAAAGGTGATCATTGGGTTGGGTTGGCAATCCACCTCAGAGCCCGGAATATAGTTGTCTATGACGCTCTCATAGAACACACGCGGGAGTCTGTTGCATGGTCAAAGATGCAGCCTGTCTGCGAGATGATGCCGTACCTAGTGAGAGCGATGTGCGCGGATGTATTGCCTGCGAAGTACTCAGTTGAACCTTTTGCCTATGAGAGAAATGTTATGGTCGCTCAAAACCCAAGTACAGGAGATTGCGGGCCTTACGCAATGAAGTTCTTGGAGTTGCTGGCGTTTGGTAACCCAATGTCAGACTTGGTGAATATTCAAGAAGCAGATATGGCCACCTACCGTCAGGTGTACGGAACAGAAATCTACGAGCACGGCAAGCGCGAGTGTGGTAACCGGCGTTTATTGTAATCATCCCTGGATGTTGAATTATTTTTATTTCCTAGTACTTATTTCCTTATTTCAACAACCTAATTAGAACAACGTAATTAATTATGGAGATCCTCAAAATATTTATGTAATCGTGATCCTCAAAATATTTATGTAATCGTTATAACTATCTTCTCTAAACCAACATGTGTACGTACATCTTATATAACGTACGTCTTTTACACAAAGTCGATTTTTCTCATAATAAGATATCTATTTCTTTACTTACATTGATTTGACAACCCTCCCCCACTGCATCATCACTTACGTAAGATTGCATTAACTACAACCATAACTTAACCAACTAACTTCATTGTTCTTTATTTAAGAGTAGGAATTGCATTGTTTTGAAACACCAAATTCCAAGAAATGTCTACACCAAATCTACCAGAAGATTTGCTAGCCAAGATAGCCAAAAAAATGGCTGAAAAATGTTGGTGGTACCTCGGACCTCTGTTAAGATCAGGGCGTGGTGGAAGAAACATTGTCTACAGGCCGGATGTCTTGAAAGATGCTAATATTTATAGCATGTGCAGTGATCCCGATGACTTCCATGCGGCAGGCCATGATCCGAATGACATCAACGCTGAAGGTCGATATAGACCCTTTTTCAAAAGGTGTCTAGAGGCTGGTAACCCGATTGCTATTTACCATGAAGGACTGCGTCTAGTTACCCATGAGTCTGACATTAAGGGCGCCATTGTACTTTTACAGCGGAATGTACCAAGGCACGCCGATGCAACCCTGGCCTGCGCTATTCTGTGCATATGCGACGGGAATGCTCACATGGGTGGTGTGTACCTACGCCTGTTTGCAAACAACCATTACGCTTTGGAATCAGAAGAAACACGTGACATGTGTGAGGAACTCCTAGAAGAAATAAAAAATTATGGAATTAGGTTAAACAACACATACGGCGCAACCTTTTCGTACCCTGAGGAACGTGGTATTCAAACGCCTCCTTGCGCGATGCTGTGTTACATCAGATTTGGACCCTTCAAGAATGTGTGCAACGTATGTTACCTCTGGTGGTGTGCGAGAAGAATTAGTCAAATTCTCTAGGGATTTCTTACGTAATATTATCTGAATTTCTAAGTTTTTATGTTATAATATGTGGCCTTTGCAATTGTACTTTGCTTATCAGTAATGAATATCTTTTTATCTACATCCTTGCTTGTTTCTCATATACTACTCAATCTTATGAATGGTTACAAATAATTGTAATATTTTATATTAAATTGATAAACAAGTTTCTTAATGTTAGATAATGGTGCCTTGTCTACACAGGCTTACGAATTATCAGTAAATACATACTGACCTGATTTAGCCATTGATAATGACCTCTATCTTTTCAAAAAAAAAAAAAAAAACGTAAATTAATGTACATATATACGTACACATCCCTGTAATTAATGTACACTGTCTTTTGTCAGATAAAACGAAATTGCAAAAGAAAGAGATTTGGTTTTTAATGCGTTTCCTCCAGATTTAGCCATATACATGAACTCAATCTTTTCCCCTAATTCGGCGACAGACATCAACTCAAACTTTTAGTCAGAGAACGTAATAATGGTAGACATACGTACACGGGTATACGTTACTGTGTACACGTATTTTAGTTGGTTTGAAACTAGAAATATGAGAAGCGACTTTCGAGATGGTAGCAAATGATGATGCAATGCTGATTGATTTGACCTGTAATAACCCATATCTACAAGTTTTGGAGTGGTTATTTAATGCATACTGTCAAGCTCTATTCATAGAATGACCTCTATCTTTTCCCATAAATCTCCTTACTTTACGTACACGGTTTGCAATTAATGTACACTTGCATTTGTCAGACAAGAGGAACTTTAAAATAATAAAACTTTATTAATGCGTTCCCCCCAAATGTAGCCATGTACATGAACTCAATATTTAGGCCCTATATAAACGATATCACACACACTAATTTATTTGCTCACATCATTCTAAAACTTCCTTCTTTCATCAACTGCAAGATTATTTCTAAACCTCCTTTGTTAACAACATGGCTTTCCCCGCAACCCCTCCAACCGAGATGTACCTTGCAATACAATTGCCAAACCCGATTTCCGTCCTCATCAACTACCTGCCCGTATCCCAGACTCCCATCGAGACCCTCCGCCACTTGGTCGAAGCAAGTGACGTAAACGCAACAGTGATGGACGACTTCATCACATGGCCTCACTTCGTGCAGCCGGAGTCTCCCTTCAGGGCCTACTTCAGCCTCTTGCTGGAAAGGGGTGAGATCCCGGCTATATACCTCGAAGGTGTCCGCCAGGCAAGCAGCTTCCTAACGGTGGCCCACGGCATTACACTACTCAACTCCGTCGCTCCATCCAACCCTCTCGCCTGCTTCGCGACCGGCTTATTCCTAACTTGTACTGGCAACCATGTCGACTTTCTTCCAGTCAGCGATATGTTCTGGGCGATGACACCCACATTAGCGGCAGCTCACGCAGTGGGGGAGATGGTGATGTATCACATAAGCCAGCTTCACACCGAAGGTCCTCGGCTCTGGCAACGTTCATGGAGGTATGTGCACACACCGGCATGTCTTGGCCGTTGCACGTACAGTTCCGGCTGCAGAGGGTGTTTCTTTTACTGGTACGCGAGGAAGATGTGTGTCTTCTATTAGATATGACTTTGATAATGACGGATGAGGCATACAATTTTCCGGCTCATGTGTATGCTTCGGGCTCTACTTTTTAGTTTATTGCTTCCGCATCTAATATATAGTTTGTCTTTCTTAAATGTATGTCCTTCTTCGGGCATTTAATTATGAATGAATGAAGTTTTTGTTGTTTGAGGACAACAAATATGATATATGTATGTTTTCGTGTACGAACATGGGTTTCGTACAATTTGCTGATTGAAGAACCAAAAAGCTAGTAAAACGTACACTGGCAAATTAATTGTAATTGTAGACACTGTACGTATTAAATGTACGTACAGTTACCCAATAGTTTATTATACAAATTCAAGTAATTAGAAAACGACAACAAGTTTATGTAGTTTTACAATACTTAATATAAATCTGGTCATTAATAATAAGAAGACTGGGGAAAACAAATCCCCCTATCTAAAAAACGACCTGCTTGATCTCTTCCACTTCCTGTGTGTCCGGATCGGCAAAGACCTTTGACACAGGACCATGACTCACAACCTTAGGATTAGCTCTGTCGGTTAAACGCCAGAAGACGAGTGCGACAACAACATTGCGCTGACCTAGACTCCGAAAGAAGGTTTGGAATTCCAACGCCTGTTCATTGTGTGCTTCGCATTCCAAAACTTCGTTGCTGCATTAGATTAAAAGAAGAATCAAGTCAGCGTTTAGATTAAAAAGTGTAAGTGAATCAAATGTGAAAAGAACATTTACTATCTATCTTTGATCTTGAAAGGAAGCTTGAGACCGTAGAAGTCTCCGGTCAAGTGGCCAACCTCCAACAACGCTCCAATGACATCTACATCAAGGGCCAAAAAAATAGAAACAAACTTCTAATTTCAAAAATGTGTAAATAAAACGTAACTTAAAAAACATCTCACCGACTAAAACTTTCTTATCAACTGTTTTCTCCAAAATGTAGTCGAATTGAGTGAAATCGTAAAACGATATTGGGTCCCTTCGTAAGGCGTTAGTAACGACGGTCCGATCCATAAACCATATGCCGTAGTCATGAGATGTTGCTCTCACTGGGTCAGCGACGTTACGGACCAAGAAAGTGGTCACAATTTTCCACTCATTTTCTTTGATTCGGTCTATGTAAAAAGGAGCAAGGCGACGATCAATGGTGGCCTCGATACGGGAACGGGATCCCTACAGAATATGATATATAACAGATTTATATAGAATTGAACCTAACGTATGATAAAAAAACACAAACACGGCACAGGGAAACTACCGAATTATCTGCCAAGATAAGGCCGAGTTCGAAGATGTTGGGCGCAACAAACTTCTTAAACACTCTCACGACAAATACACAAATTGTCCACCCAGTGATCTGAGGACACAATTCAGAGATGGTGTGATACCCGTCCATCACACGGTTAGCAAGAACAATCGAAAGACTTTGTGTTTGATTGATGTAACTGCCGAATGTGAAAGGGTTTTCGTTTGAAGGAACGTGGATAAAATTGAGGAGGAGATGTGGCTTAAATAAGGAAATTCCATAACAGACGCGGTGGGTAGTGCGAAAGTGTTCCAACGGTTGAGATGTGTAACCGTTTGTAACCGTTTATTGCATGAAGATTATACGTACACAGACACAACAAAAACGTACACTAACAAAAACGTACACTCAGAAAACGTACATTGTTATACGATGGCAAACATTAAACGTACGTACACCGTCACAACACTTTGGTACACACTGTCCACACATAAACGTACACTGTCTTCGCGGAGACATAAAGCTTATGAGGAGAACTAAATAGGATTTTTGCAAGTCTTCTTGTTATGACCTGCTTGTCTACATCGTGTGCACTGATTCGGAATAAGTCTTTTCTGTCTCTTTTTCTGAAATGACAACAACAATAAGTTAATAATCTACGTATCTTATACTCAAAACATAATGTTTGAAAAATCTGAAGGGGTTTGAATGATAGCACTTACCCGGTTTTCACCTCTAGATGGAATCCGTTTGGTTGTTGGTCTTCCTGGTGGTCGTCTACAGTATGGAGGAATTAGTATCAAATCCGATATATGTTGTGGGATGACAACATCCTTCGGATCTGCGATAGGTAGAATCGGTTCTTGAAAAGAATCGGAAAACGTTTGAAGTCCATACCACCATCCTACAACAACCTTCGGATCTATTCCAAACTCGATTGCAGCTGCTAGACCGTGTTCACATGGGATTCTCAACTTTGTGTACCTAAGACACGTACACGTACACTCGTCCAGAACGACATGAAAATGCTCACCTGACTTGCTTGTAACTTGATAACTCCACGGTCCAGACATCTTAACCGCTAATTTCCCTGACGCAGGCAAATCTTGGAGAAAACGCTCATCAACCTCAGGCGTCATTAAAGACTTACACCTAGCCACTTTTTGCCTCCTCGCTGCGAACCATCGCATTAGGACCTCTCGAATGAACTCTATCATGTACACAATCGGATATGATTTGGCTCTTGTTAAGACATTATTCATAGACTCCGAATTGTTGCTAGACATGATATTGTAGCGTTCCCCTTTACAGTGAGCTCTTGTCCAATGCTCAAATCCAATTTCCTCTAAGTAATTTGCGCATGCAGCACTCTTAGCCCTTAACTGTTCCAAGTATTTTTCAAAATCTCTCACTCTGTAAGCTTTAGCAGCGCTGAAGAATAATCCAGATACACCATACTTACCATAATGGGTGGAGATATTTCGCTCAAGGTGTACTGCACATGCACCATGATGAGCTTTCGGATAAACCACACTGAGGCCTTTATATATTGAAGAATGTCTGTCCGATACAATCATTAAATCTTCATTGTCTGGAACAATGTCAGCTAATTTATCAAAGAACCACACCCATGAAGCGTCAGTCTCACCATCCACAACACCAAACGCTATTGGAAATATTTGGAAGTTCCCGTCTTGGGCACATGCAATGAGGAGACATCCCTTGTAACGTCCTACTAGCTGCGTTCCATCTACGACAATTACCTTCCTCATATACTTCAGACCTTTTATAGAAGCCCCGAGAGATACAAAAACATACTTAAAGCGCTGCGTACCATCAGCTTCAGGTGTAGAGTGTAGGTGAGTTATCGTACCCGGATTAGCTAATTTAAGAAGATACAAATAGGTAGGCAAAAACCTGTAACTTTTTATATCATCCCCCCTTACATTTTCCACTGCAACCTCTTTAGCTCTCCAAGCGGTAGAATATGAAATCCGAACATTGAGATCATTTAGGAGCAACTGTGGTAAATCGACAGCTCTCGGACCCCCTTGCGTAGAACTGTATCTGCTCTTCACTACCTCTCCGAGAAGCTTATAACTAGCATGTTTATTATAATTCTTACGAGTGTCGATGTCACACGTATGGGTGGTATCATACGATGTGATTTTGAAACATTCTGAATTCTTGACAACTTGAGCTGTCAAATGCCATGGACAAGTATCATCAACGCAGACCATCTCCAATCTTGTAGGACATGACCTACGTTGCTTGTAGCAAAAGCATTGTTTGATTGCGAGATAAGACATTGTTTGTTGTATGACTTTTCTGTTCATAAAAACACTCCCGACATACAAAGTCTCACCTGTCGTACTCAGTTCGACTTGTGTCTCATCATCTCGTAAATTGGCTAAATCATCGAATACCGGAGCAGCATCATTATCGAGAATCTCCAACTCGCCACCATGTAATGTAGAAAAGTCATTATACACTTCGTAAGCCTCAGCTGCGGTAACTAACCGATTATCATTCAGTGTCCCACTTGCGGAAGCTCCAATACCACGGTCGATAGTGACTTCGTATATACCATTAATATTGGTATCCGTGTTACCTTCGCAGCCTGTATCTTGTACACACTCTGTAGTGTACGTACATTGGTACAAACCATGTTGACACGTACGTCTTGGAGTCACCGTTGGTGTACGGTCACCCGAATGAGAAATGTTATCTCCGCCAGGTGCAGTAACTAGCCGATTATCATTCAGTGTCCCACTTGGGGAATCTCCAATACCACGGTCGATAACATCATCCCCAGAGACATCGTCTATACCATTAATATTGGTATCGGTGTTACCTTCGCTGCCTGTATCTTGTACACATTCTGTTGTGTACGTACATTGGTACAAACCATGTTGACACGTACGTCTTGGAGTCACCGTTGGTGTACGGTCAACCGAGTTATTTCCTCCAGGTACACGATGACTTGTGTACGTACACTCTGCCAATAGACGACTGAATTCCCCTGGATGTTGAACCGTTTGTTGAGTGAGAATGACGTCCTCCTCAACATTCCCTATTCCATATTCTTCAATAATTAAATCGTTCCACTTGTTGTAATCGTAATCTTCGCCACTGCCTTCACTACCGTCTATAGTAGGATCGAGGGTACTTCCCCCCATAGATCCATCATCACCCTGATAATCATCATACCCAGCACCATCTTCGTTGTCCTCCTCCTCTTCTTCATCCTCATCTGTTTTATCGTCTTCAACGTCGTCTTGCTCATCTACGGCCTCATTATTTCCATCTACATTTGAAGCCGCTAGGATGGGATTTGGTGTCGTTGCACTCCCACACACACGGTAACTCTCACCATCGGTCCTAGGGACAGTATTCCCGAGTGCTTTGAAAGAGACAAACAAGGTGACACTAGGATCCCCACCACGAATCAAAAAGAATGTATCCAGGTTCATTTGATTGTCAATGTATACAGGAGGGCGTTTACTTTCTATCATCACTGACATCTTTCCCGGCATCCAGTAACTAATTATTGGATTGCATTCGGTGCACTTCAAACTGAAAACCTCGCATAATGTACGTACAAATGCCGTGTACGTCATGTTTTGCCTAACACGTACACAACGACCAAACCAGCCTTCCCATGGTTCAAATTTCCATTCTTCTTCTTTGCATTTCCACTCACCCACCATAGTAAATACGGGAATATCCATTACCAACCTGCATCATAAATTCAGCAGAACCCCATTAAATGCAAATGAAAGCATGATTATATCTACAAAAAACAAAAAGAATTCCCAACTACACACTTATAAACATAAATCTATCATCATTTAGCAATTTCAACTAAAAAAAGTGGAAATAAAAATATTCTGGGTTTTTATATAAAAACAATGTTGATCTTAGCACACAATCAAGACCCTAGTGTGTTAAAACAAAAAACTTCTTAACCAATTTCATTACTTACACGTTCAATGCTTGTCTTGGCTCCAAACTTTGTAAATCAAGAAGATCAAACCGATGCAGAATCACATTCGTTCAGAAAAATTTGTTTGTTTCATGGATCATGTTTGTCTCTTACAACTATTCACGCATAAAAACTAATATTAGAAAAAGTAATGATGACTTTTGCATTAATTGTGACATGAGTCATGTCTAAACTTTTTGGACATTAAATACTGATGTCTCATTGTGTTTTAATGTTTTTAATCCCAACTTGTCACTGTACTCCCGCACAAAATCAATTAAGAGCGAAATATATTGCGTAACCGGAACAGTGTACGTAACTAAACCTCTTAACTGAACCGTACAGTGAACCGCTTAACTGAACCGTACGCTTAACTAAACCGTACAGTGAACAGTACATCGATAGGGGTAAAATGGTCAGATTTTGGCCAAAATGTCAAAACATGAAAGCTCATTCTCACTTTGCCAAAACTTGAAAATAAAACTTGGTCAACTGCCATAACTTGAAATTTACCCTTATTATTATATTGAGAGCCAAATGCTGCTGCCGTTTTCTTCAGAGATCAAAAATGACGTTACCGGAGCTTCCAAAGGATTTGGTAGAAGAGATACTCTGTCTTGTTCCGGCCACATCTCTGAAACGATTACGATCCACTTGCAAAAGATGGAACCATTTATTCAAAGATGATAAGAGATTCGCAAGAAAGCACACTGACAAAGCCGCAAAGCAGTATCTACCTCTCATGTTGACCAAGGACTACAGGATTTGTCCTATAAACGTCAATACTCCATCTCTAGAGGTTAAAAATGAGCTTAGCTTACTCGATCCTCATTCAGCAGCTCAATTCAACATAGATCGAGTCTTTCACTGTGATGGCTTGTTGTTATGCACATCCCAAAAAGAATCAAGATTCGTGGTTTGGAACCCTTTAACTGGTGTAACCAAGTGGATCGAACTCGGCGATCGTTACAACGAAGGTATGGCTTTTGTTCTTGGATATGACAACAAGTCCTGTAATAAGAGCTACAAAATCTTGAGCTTTAATTTTTGTAACAAGGATTCTGAAATCTACGAGTTTAGCTCTGACTCATGGAGGGTTATTGATGATATCAAGCCACGCCACTACTTGGAATACTCTAGAAAGTGTGTGTCTTTGAAGGGAAACACTTACTGGTTTGGTATAGATAGAAGACGAAGTCTATGGGACCCTAGCATGGCCTTGCTCAAATTTGATTTTGGAACAGAGAAATTTGGGTATGTTCCTCTGCCTCGTCCATGTCAAGTGCATGGTTTTGAGGCTTCTAATCTTTCCGTTGTCAGAGACGAAAAGCTTTCGGTGTTATTAGAGGACGGTTCTACATCCAAGACTGAGGTATGGGTGACAAATAAGATTGGTGAGAACAATGTGGTGTCGTGGAGCAAGGTCTTAGCATTGTATCCGAGAGCTGATTTTTGGCATGGCGCAAGTTGCTTGCTAGACGAGGAGAAGAAAGTCGTCCTGTGTTGTAAGAGTAAGAGATGGATGGAGGAAGGAGACAAGGTATACATTGTTGGAGAGGATAATAAAGTCAAAATAATGGATTCTGGAGTTTATACAATTGAAGGATCTTGTCCAACTATTCTTAATTATATTCCAAGTTTGGTTCAAATCGAGAGAGCTGGAGGCAAAAGAAAAAGAGGTGAGTAAACAACCTCTAATACATGTAATCTCTTCTTTTTCTGTTTTCAGAATTATTTTTTTATTGGCAAGTTATCTTGGTCATGCATGTTCTGTTCTTTGAATAATCCTTTGAACTGGTACTTTCATAGATACTTCATGTTTCAACTGCGCAGTGTTATATTCTTTGCTTTAAACACAATTTTTATGTTTTTTGATCAAACCATGTCTCGTAATGTTTTAAGAAGAGAAAATTTATGTTTCAAATTAAAACTAAAGCTTTTCTAATTCAATGACAAAAATGATTCTTGAAAGTTGAAACATGTACAAACAAAGCTTTCTCATTGTTTCTGCACTGGTTTTTCTTTTTCACACCAAACTCACTCCCTTACAAGTTACAAGGTGTACAGCTAGATATCATCCAACCCACTAACCTTCAAGTTCTATTTATTAAGCCACCCAAATTACTTGAAACCACAACTTTGCTTGTGTTTTTTTGGGCATTCCAAAGTTGAAACACAAAAGGTGTTTACTCATGAAACACTCTTTGATTGTGGTTTATTGTAAAGCTGAGCAAATATAGTAAATGTATTGAAACGAGAACCATGAATTGTGTCACTGCTGCATGAATACTCTAACAGAGTTAAGAGTTAACCACTATGTTATCATAGATTAGAGTCGCCGCTGCCATGTTTTGTTGGGCCAAACACATGATAAAGTAAAGCCCATAATAAAATGGGACTATAGTTTATAACTCCAACAAGATATATAAGAGCGGAACACTTAAACCCTAAACAGCGGTCTACAACAATGTTGATGTACCTTTCGCAGGATTTGTTAGAGGAGATACTCTGTCGCGTTCCGGCCATATCTCTGAAACAGTTACGATCTACTTGCAAGCGATGGAACAGTTTATTCAACGACAAGAGGTTCGCAAGAAAACACTTTGATAAAGCAGCAAAACAGTCTCTGGTTGTCATGTTGACAAAGAATTATAGGATTTGTTTACTGGACGTCAATCTCAACGAAACTCCATCCATAGAGGTTAGGGGTGAACTTAGGCGAGTCAGTATATCTCAAGTCTTTCACTGTGATGGCTTATTGATATACATCAACAAAGGAGACACTATGATGGTGGTTTGGAACCCGTTTATGGGTAAAATCAGGTGGTCCCAACACATAGATCGTGACAAGACACACTACGACTATGTTCTTGGATCCTACCAAGACGATAAATCAGGCAATACTAGCTACAAAGTTTTGAGATACATGTTTTGGGGCAGCAAAAAAAATTTAGAAATTTGTGAGTTGTACTCTAGTTCTTGGAGGATTCTTGATGTCACTACGGACTGCACGTTTTATGCTGAGTCGACCCGCGCGTCTCTGAAAGGTAAGACTTACTGGTTTGCTTTTGATGAAAAAGACTGGCAGATCTATATGGTTAGTTTTGATTATACAACAGAGAGATTTGGAAGTCGTATGAGTCTTCCCTATCAGTTTCCTATTGGTAGTTATAAAACTGTAGCTCTATCTTGTGTTAGAGAAGAGAAACTTTCAGTGCTATTACATCTCAGAGATACATCAAGGAAAGAGATATGGGTAACAAATAAGATTGATGAGACAACTCAAGTCTTGTCGTGGAACAAGGTCTTAACTCTGGATTACCCTGATCTTGGTCGTTGTTTCCTAACTGGTCTAAGTTTTTTGTTCGACGAGGAGAATAGAAAAATCGTGTGTTGTGAGAGACGTATGTCTGAAGACGAGGCCGCCGACTGGGTTTACATTGTTGAGGAGGATAATAAAGTCACACAACTGTGTTTTGGAAAATGTAACGACTTTGATACGTTGGAGTCGGATCCATATCTGTTTGGTTATGTGCCAAGTTTGGTTCAAATCGAGCATCCTCGACACAAAACTAAAAGAGGTGACTAAGCTACATGCCATGCTACCATTTTCTTTTATTGTGTCTTCCTCTTGGTTGATCTTGGTTGTCAAGTCCTTTCAATAATCCTTTCAGCTCTGATATTATATTAACAAGTGGTACCATTAGATGTGCTTTAACATTGGTTTTTCCTTAAGTGCAATGTTATGATTAAATAATGTTTCCTTACATATATATATATATATATATATATTCTCGTACAGAGAAGGTAAGTTAATAACAGATGTCTAAAGAGGAGAGAATTGTGTTTCAAATTTTAAGCTTTCCTAATTCAGTGACAAAAGTGATTCATAAAACGTACGTGTACAACAAAGCTAATCTCCTTTGTCTCTGCTCTATGTTCTTTTTCACCCAATTCACTTCCTTACAAGTTACAAGTTGCACAGCTAGAAAACACCCTTCAAGTTCTAGTAAGTCTTCGCCATAAAATTTGTATTACGCTATAGGCTCGTTATTTGGAGGCTTGTGTTTGATTCTAATTAGTGAACCATATAGATCTCGTAGTTAACCTTTATTCTTCTTGATAATACTATCTTTAAGTGAAATATAACCGATGTCGATACAAGAAGATGATGTCGTGTTGATATCTTCTTGATTAGTCTATACTTTGAGATCATTCCACGAAGGCATACTTGTGTTGGCTGCAAAGATTGTTGGCAAGCGTATTAGAGACTTGATGGGTCCAAGATCATGAAGGTGAGTAAAGTGACTCAAAACTCATCCAAAACTTTTGGTTTTTGAGACATTACGATCTACACAAATCTTTATAAGTCTCGTTAAAGTCTTCTTGGACCCGAAAGAAAGGAACAACACCGAGTACGAACTCTACAAGAACTTATTGGAGAAGATATCTGTCTTTGAGTTCCCTATCATTGAGGCTTCAAGCTTGAGTTTGTTTGTGTGATCTCTTAATATTTAACTTCGTCTTTAAATATGTTAACATCTTTCTTTATTATGTCTTATTTAGTTTGTCTATATTACTCTCAAAAACACTCTCAAGTCTTAACCATTTGATTAATTCTTTTTTTATAGAAGAAAGATTTCAAATGATTGATTAAGATCATAATTAAGAATCCACATGGTTTGTTTCTCTTGACCGGCTTATACCATCTTCAATTGGAGGCAACCACTAAAATTAAAATCCGGTTTCAATTAAAATCCGGTTATATCCGGTTAAATTACTAAAGAGAGACAGAGAGAGCAATCATTTGTCGACGATTGAATAGGAAAAAAAAAAGGAAGGAGTCATGGCACGACGGAGGGCGAAATCGAAAACCCTAAGTTTCCAAAAGATTCAGCGTTCCACGAAGATGTTACCGGAGCTTCCAAAGGATTTGGTGGAGGAGATACTCTGTCGCGTTACGGCGACATCTCTGAATCGATTACGTACTACTTGCAGAGCCTGGAATCGTTTAATCGAAGATGATCGGAGATTCGCGACGAAGCATTTGGAGAAAGCACCAAAAGCGTTTATACCTCTCATGCTGAGAAAGGAATACCGTGTTTTTCCGTTTAGCGTCAATCTCCACAGAGATGATCCATCTGTAGTGTTCAAAAGAGGGGTTAAACTCCTCTATCGGCTTTCTAATTATCGATTTCGTATAGATCGAGTATTTCACTGCGACGGCTTGCTGTTATGCACCTCCGATGAAAACGAATCTAGAATCGTGGTTTGGAACCCTTTCACCCGTGAAACCAGGTGGATCGAAGCAGGTCTCAAGAGGAGAGACTTCACTTTCCTTCTCGGCTACTCGCAAGTCACCTCTAGTAAGAGCTACAAAATATTGAGCTTTCTTTCTGGTAGAAATGATTCGGAAATCTATGATTTGAACTCTGATTCATGGAGGCGGCTTCTTGATCATGATCACTCTCTAGAGTTGACAGTTCGATACGCTGGTCACAGCGTGTCTTTAAAGGGTAACATTTACCGGTTTCATGGAGAGGAAACAGGAACCAAATCCTTGCTCAGATTTGATTTTGCAACTGAGAAATCCGAGATTCTGCCTCTTCCTTATCAGTGTGATAGTTATGATGCCAAGATTCTTTCCGTTGTTGGAGAAGATAGGCTCTCTGTGTTATTAAAGCGGTGTAGAAAGGGTTCCAAGACTGAGATTTGGGTTACAAATGGGATTGATGACACCACCAAAGCTGTTTCTTGGACCAAGGTCTTAGCATTGAATTTGAGCAGGGACCTTCAAATTACCGATCGTGGAAGTTTCTTGCTCGATGAGGAAAAGAAAGTCGCCCAAATTTGCGAGAGATGGTTCGACAATGGAGACGACGAAAGCTATAACAGTGACATGCTATACGTTGTTGGGGAGGGTAAAAAAGACTTGATAACCGTTTATGAAGTACCTGATATAAGAGTATGTTGGCCTGCTATTCTGAATTATGTTCCAAGTTTTGCCCAAATCAAGCTAGCTGGAGGCAAAAGGAAAAGAGGTCACTGAATAGAAGCTCTACATGTAAATCTCCTTTTTTTTTTTCTCTTAGTTATCTTGGTCATGTTCTTTCAGTTTCAAGCTTTTCTTGTTCTATGAAACTTTGCTTGTGTTTTTTTGGGCATCCAGAGTTGGAAAACATAAAAGTTGTTACTCATGAGATACTCTCTTCTTGTGGTTTAACCTAAAGTTAAGCAAAATAAGTCTATCGATAAGAGATCCTTTAATTGTCACCGATGCATCAGGGCACTATTACATTTTGACCAGCACTGCATCTTCCTCTCATATTAATAAGTTCTGTATCATCTGTCTGTTTAACAACCTAACGATCAGCCATTGTTTAGAGTGATTGCATGGTAAAGCATTTGTCAATTATGTATCATAACTTACAGCTGTAAGAGCGTGTGCCTGCACCTTTGGAATCTGACTCTTATGTTTTATGTAATCTCTAGCTTCAACTCTCAATGTCTGCTGCCATGGTATAACCTTATGTATTTTCTCTGTTTTCATTGTGTGGAAAGCGCATGAGTGCTCTATAGTGTGAATCGGATAGCATGATTGCTCTGCCACAGTATTTCAAAAGCTGTAGATCACACGACTGTAAATCAGATAGCATAAAATGAGACTAGAATGTGTCTCCACTTCCTGTCTTCTTAAAAGACAAATTTCATTATATGCTCAACATCACCAGCTATAACGTCTCTGTCTCGATTCAGTCTAATGTTTCTGCTCCATGTTGTTCTGTTCTACTGTGGATTCAATCTCCCCTTAAGAAATTTGTCTCTGTCTTCCTCTCAATCTCAATTGCTGTGACAACACAATTGATAGAAGCTAGCAAGGGATAACTCATCAAGACCAAAGCCATACACGTAGATCAACTGATCAAGTGAAAGAAGTCAGTACCACTTGTTTTTCTTTTTCATCAATCTGTTTAGCTTTACACATTTGATCATTCGAGTTCAAGACGCTCGGTTTCGTTCTCTTCTATGCATTTTGGATATTCCTCTCTGACAAGTATTTGTGTTAGAATATAGGCTTGTTATTTGGAGGAATTTGCGTAGAATTCCAATTGATGTATGAATATATCATACCTTGATTATTACGATCTTTTGGCATGTTTCTGAGGTTCAATGCTTTTCCTACTGTCATTTACATCAAAGCAATCCCAATCCGTATTGAGTAGGCTCTGGAGAAATCAAAGGATGTCTACGTTTACCTCTACTTCAAGCAAATCCAGTCGTGATTGAATTCGACTGGGAGATTCAGAACTACCTTAGTTCTAAAGTGAAGAAATGTCAGCATGATGTTGAGAAGCCTTGCTTTATGGATATCTGTAGCTTGTCTGAACTCTGGGTTTAGGACTGTTGAAGCAACTACTTTCTGCATCATAATAGTCGTTTTGGATTAGCAATCTCAAATTTTCTGTTATGGACCTTCTCCTTCCGGTGTGAAAGATCCTTCTTCCTTGAATGTATAGAGCTTCCACACAATCTACTCTTACCTGCCGGAAAGTGTCAATGCGGAGATTATGTATTTAGAGAAGTGATGATGAAGGAGTCTCTACCCGAGTGGATCAATTGGCAAAAAAAGAGTGTTCATGTTCTCGGTTTTGGTGTTTTAAACAAGTACCTTCCAGATCAATCTTCCGCTTTCAATTTTGATCCGGTTAACAATCCTCAGGAAATCTTGAAGCAGTCAAGTTCTGTGCTTTTTGTTTAAAAAGTTTAGAAGTAGTTGCTCACAAAGATTCAGCCTGCAAATGCAACGAGGTGAACTTATTGTACCTCCCTGATGACGACGAATACAAATTCAGATTCATAACCGCAGTCTCTAACGGATTCAATCAAATCTCCAAAGCCATCACCTGTTAAAGATGGGGAAGGACAAAATTTGCTGATCGTTGTTGAAATGTGGTTTCGAACTCGTCACATGTTAAATACACACAACCGACTTAACCGCCAGCCTACTATGAAATATTGAACGCCTTTCAGCCGTTTAATTATTAAATAGCTAGAACCGCAAACCCAAGTGGGTTCTAATGAAAATATTAGCTAACTAGCTTATATTTACCTAAATACAGTGATTACAGTCCGTGAAAATATTTACGAGTTGAATCTATGAAACTACAGTGTCATATATTATTTGGCTCTATCATGTGTTATGTATAAGGTAACATTTTTTATACAAATGTTACTCTTTTTGTTTCAAAATATAGGATGAATTTTTAAAATCAAATATTAAATAATAGTTTTAAGTCGAAAAAATAATTTCTTAAAAAGTATGTGCTATAAACCAAAACATCATATATTTTTAAACAGAGTGAGTATAAATTTGATTACTAAAAATAATTGGTTGTGAAAATGATATAATGCAATTATTTTACAATAAGCTAATCATGTAATAGGCAAAACAATTCAATTCAATTCAAAAAGTGTGTTAAAAAAGAGAAAAAAAATAGTCAAACATAATCAACAAAAATACACTATAATGTTGTACAAAAAAGGTACATATTAGTCTTAATATTCAAGTAGTTAACATGTTGTTTAATCAAATGTCTCACAAAATTGTGTTTTCCGTATTCTAATGTAGATGATTTCTGATATCAAAGAAAGAAGAAGCAAATCGAAACTCTATAGAAAGAAGTGTCCAAATAGAATACATACATGTGATGATGTCACTCGTAAATCAAACATAGAGCAGCCTGGAAAAAGAGATAGCTTGTCTAGAGATTAAAGCAAAATTCACTTGGAAAGAGATCGAAATTGGTATTTCTCTTACTATATCTAGAAAGTGTTGATGTTGGTGTTGCTGCTGTATTCATAAGATAAATCTAAAATCATATTATTTACAGCCAACTCCGCACCTTTGGTGCAATATGTCAAGTGCAGAGCAGCATGCAACATTGTGTGCCAACTCCGCACCTTTGGCGCCCACTGAAGAAGTTGATCCCACTCTCCCTGCTGACAAGTGACTATTCAATGTGTTGGTCTGAAGCCAAAAACTCTTGGTTATTTCAATTTCAAGACTTTCTTTCTTTTTTAATTTTGCTGTGAACAAGTGGTCTGAAGCCAAAACTCTTGGTTATTTCAATTTCAAGCCTTTCTTTCATTTTTAATTTTGCTGCTAATCCTCTACTGCTCTCTCCCATGGATTCACATCTCTAACCACTACTTCACTTACCTATTGGTTTAGTTCAGTTTGGTTTCGAACGAGAAATTTAGTTAGGCTTGGGCATAATACCCGAACCCGAAGAATCGACATGAACCTAATCCAAAAAACTCTATCCGAATCCGAACCCGAAGTTTTAAAATATCCGAATGGGTCCTAAATTTCACTACCCGAAAACTCTTGGTTTGGTTGTGTACGAGAAATTTGGTAATTGGTTAATTCAGTTACACAATAAATCTGCCCAAATTACATTTCGCTTCGGTTAACGAGAACCAAAACGATCCATATATAAAAAAAATTGCGCCGACCATATTAACCGATCATTAATACTCGCCGCCGATCTCCGTCGAAAAACCCTATGGAGATTACCGATGAATGGGGACGCAAACTCTGCATCTCCTCCTCTCCCGAAGAATCCATTGGTCCTTTCTTCTCGAACCCGTCAGATTCTCAGCTTCTCTTCTCTTCTCCCTCACTCTCTCCTCCGATTCTCTCTACTATCCCTCACTTCTCTCCCGCGCGTTTTCTCTCCGTCTCCGGCGTCCCTCCGTCGGATTCTTCCGCAATCCATTCCTCTTTCAATATTCTCAATCCGCACGATGATACCGCCAGGGTTCTCTCCTACAATCGCCTCCAGTTTCTACCTTTCCCCAGTAAAAATTCAGTCTTGGTGTTTTTCCCCACAGGGACTAATCTTGATCAAATTGGGTTCTTGCTGCTTTCTACCGGAGATTCCGGTGGTTTACAAGTCACGGGTTCAGACGAAGGTGACGTCTTTGTGGCAACAGAGAGATTATTTTATCGAATTTTGAAGATTTTGGTGCAACCTGTTAGTGATTTTGGAGCGTATAAGTGTTCTTCTTCTGGCGAATTGGGATACGTTTTGGTTTATTGTTTGTATTCGATTCATTGGTACTGTGTCAAGTATGATGAATCTCAAGGTAAGCCGGTTTTGAGAAACTTGGGGTCTAAGCAGTTTAAGAGGTTTATGATTGTAAGCGCTTCTTGGAGCCCTCATGTTACTGGAGAGTGTCTACTCTTGTTAGACAACGGTGAGGTCTTTGTGTTTGATTTGAATCAGAGACATTGTAGACTTAGAGGTTGCAAACTGAAAGTTTCTTGGGAGAGTCAAGGGAAATCAGTGAATAAGAGTTGGTTAGGGTGTGAATTTGGTTGGAGAGTTGGGATTTATATCGTTGCTCGGTCTGATGCAGTCTTTGCTATTACCAGAAGCTCTGAGAATTGCAGTGTGAGATGTTTATTGGAAGTTGAGACTCTGAATATGGCTGGAACAGAAGTGTTTGTTGGGTTTGCAAAGGCGGGTAGTGACGGTTTTCGGTTTATTCTTGCTTCCCAGAGCTATGTATTTCTCTGTGATCCGAGATCAGGAGTACCCTTGTTGAAATGGCAGCATGATGTTGAGAAGCCTTGCTTTATGGATGTTTATAGCTTGTCTGAACTCGGAGTTAGGACCGTTGAATCAAATACTTCTTGCGTCATAATTGGGTCGTTTTGGAATGCACAATCTCAAATGTTCTGTTATGGACCTTCTCCTTCTGTTGTGAAGGATCCTTCTTCCTTGTATGTATGGGAGCTTCCACACAATCTACTCTTACCTGTTGGAAAGTGTCTATGCGGAGATTGTGTATTTAGAGAAGTAATGATGAAGGAGTCTCTTCCCGAGTGGATCGATTGGCAGAAAAAGAGTGTTCTTGTTCTCGGTTTTGGTGTTTTAAACAAGTACCTTCCACTTGGGTCATCAGATCAATCTTCCGGGTTTACTTTGATTCGGTTAACATCCTCCGGTAAGCTTGAAGCAGTCAAGTTTCGAGCTTCTCGTTTAAAAAGCTTAGAAGTAGTAGCTCACAAAGATTCGGCCTGCAAATCCGACGAGGTGAACTTACTGTACCTCCCTGATGACGAGGAATACAAATTCCCAAGTCGATATGAATATCTCGAACTCAACTATCTCTCTTCTCACGCAAAAGGGATGCTCGCTGGGTTTTTAGATACAAAGATGAGGACAAAATCATCGGATTTGCAGAAGAGTAAATCTTTCAGCTTAATCTGGCACGAGGAGTTATGTAAGAAGTTGAAGATTTGCGGATTTGGTAGAGACAGATCTTCTTCTAGCATAACCGCAGTCTTTGAGAATATCGATTCACCGACAAGCGTTTTCGACATTGCATTGAGAGAAACCTGGTCAAGCTTACCTATAGAGATTTTGTTGCTTGCATTCTCCAACTACTCTGAGTTTGCAGATGTTCTGGTAGACAAGAAAAAACCATCTCTCGAGTTCTTAGTTGTTCCAGAATTCCCACAGTTACCACCTTTCGTGTTAAGGAAACCTTCAAGCCGGAGTAACAAATGGTCAAAGAAGGAGCAACCCGGTGTTGAGCTTGTTGGTCCTGTTCTTCCACTTCCAGTTCTCATCACACTCCATGAGTTCCGTAACGGATGTCTCAATTCAGAACAAGAGTTCTCGCCCGAAGCAGAGTTATCTAACCGATGCAATCAGATCTCCAAAGTAACCCGCGAGCTTGCAAACTCAGGTCGAGACGAGACAACCATTTCACTTGACGATGACCTAGACGATGAAATGTGGCTCAACAGTGATTCACAGAAGGAGAAAAAGACGTTCATTGCTTATCGTCCGATCACAAAGACAGCTGATTCAGACAGACTACAGCAAGAAGTCACTACGTTTGTCTCCAGAATGCGTCGTTGTAAAGAAGGTGATGATAATGTTGGAGGAAGAACAGGGCTTGAACTGTTTGGTGAGTTGTCTCCGGTCGAGATTTGCTTCGAAAATCGGGAAGTGAATTTCGACACTAAAGCTTTGCTAACTTCCAAGACGTTTCTCTCTCAATGGCAGCATCGATCATCTTCATATCAAGAGTTTCTTTCTCAGTACCATCTAACAAAATGAGAGTTATCTCCCAGTCCCACGGCTTCACCCATCAATTTTGTAATTTGAGGATTATCGTAGGTTTCTTGGTATTCTTGTCTTGTAACCAAACTGGTACGTAAATATATATACATTTAGAAATTTTCGTTTTGAAAATTCAAATTACGTAATTACCATTTGAAAGACTATCAAAATTTGCAACATATTGAGTTATCAGTTACCTAATCTGGCTAATCTAATTTTATATGATGAAAAATCATAACTGATCAAACAAAATTGTATCTATCAATTTATTATTATACATGGATTTAGTTGCATAATCGCATGCGTTACAAAATGAAACAAAGAGTTGGTTAAAAGAGTCTGGTGTTAAACTGGTCCTACTTTGGGAAGGAAGGAAAAAACTGTTCTTACTTCTTTTTCTTCTCTTTCGTAAGTCGTAAGATGGATCCTAACCCAAACGGAGATGGACCACCGATCACCGGAGCAATCCAAAAACTTCCTCCTCTTCCACCACCATTCTTTCCGGCGTGTTTTTGTGGCCTGAACTGATACGAGCTGCAGCAGAGAGATGAAGGAGGACGCATATGAGATGATTGATTCACCCCTGGACGTGGGACTCCATGTCTCTGCGAGCTATGCTTGTTAATGTCCCTAAGCATTTCCCTCTTCGAATTCATCACTGATCCTGTGGAATTGCTTCTCGTTAAACGAGGAAACGAACAGATCAGACTCTTCTTTATATCGCAGTTAAGGCTTGAGCTTCTTTTGAAGCTCCAAAACGACTTTGATGATTTCTCTGCCTCTGAGTCCGAATTGGCAACGCTCCCTCGACCATTTACGCTTCCACGAGTTTCTTTCACGCTGTATTTTATCGAGTGTTCAGGCAATGGTAAAGGCAGAGGAGGAAGATAGGAGGATAAGGATGGAGCAGAGACAATAGGAGGGAGCTCATATTTGTAGAGACGTTTTGGCATGGTGGATCCAGCTGTTACTTGGAAAGGAAGGACCGGGAGGATCATGCCGTCTGCAAAGATCTCGTCGGCTGGTGAGGAATCTTCAGGATCAAAGTTTCTTGAGATGTGGAACTCGAAATCTGAGTTTGATGAATCTAAAAGAGCTGTGTCTCTTCGAACCGGGCCTGATGGTTGATGTTCCATAGGAGGTCCTTTATCGGACTGGCCGAGATCACCAGCAAACGAAATTCGCTGGTGGTTTGACTCCGTGCAGATCATGATGGTCCTTTTTGCTGGAGTGTTCAAAACAAATTAGTGAAACCAATGAGAAACAGAGAAATGATGAGTAAATGAAAACTAACCTCTGTTTGGCGGAAAGATGAAACTCTGCTCAGAGACTTTCTTTTTGCAGGACTGTGCCAAAGAAAGAAAGTACCAATCTTGGTGAGCAGCGATCAAAATCAAGACATCGTAAAGTCAGATAAAGCATGAATGGGGGAGATGTGAAGGAAATAAGGTTTCCATGAGAAGATGATGAAGGAAAGGTTTAGGTGAACATGATGTTTGGAAACATTTGAGATTAAACGCATAAGTCTATGGATTAGAGGATGAAAACTTCAATTAAAATAATGGATGTGGTGTGCCACTACTAGTGCAGGAAACAATGGCTGAGAAAAAAAGAGAGCATAATATCTAATTAGATTTCAAGGGTATGAATAAATTACATTACCTCTTACTTAAGGCGTCCAACGGACTGTTTTATTGGACCGTGGAGCCTCCTACTCGGCACACAGCATATCCATTATCAGCATATGATCATCCTTACATTATCTTGCAAAAGTTAAACTACATTGTTTTTTTCTTTTCCATACAACAGACAATAATGGAACTCCAAATCAATATATAAGAACCTGATTGCAGCTAGAAACAAGTGTCCCAGTTCAGGTGTTCAATAAATGGAGGAAGGAAGCTGTCTATAAAAACCTTGAGAATGGTGAGATGTTGTAAAAAGAAAGCTTGGTCTGACCCTGCAAAGTTGTCAAAATTATCTAACATGACAAACACTGTTTCTCAGCAAGTTCTTGACACAAACATGCTCAAGAACAGAAAAGCTTTATACAAGCACAGGATCAGAATTTTCGCATAATCTAAGCAAGATACTAATTTAAGTAACTCCTGAGCTGCTAATAGAAAGAAATAAGACAAACTAAATTAAGAAGAACAAAATGTAAGAAAGTTGCAGAGAGCTGCATTATTGATAACCAAAAAAAAAAACAGCCTGGAGATTCCATTACCATGGAGATTACAATTAGCTTTTGGTAACGGAAAAAAAAAAAAACCCCAAGTTGTCTCTTTTACAACAAAAGAAGAATATTAAAGAAACCAAGTAAAATTGGCTTCTTCATTCACTAAAACTGAGCACATTGCTACATATAAATTTTCTTCCTTTTTTACAACGAAAAACAAAGTTGATACATTTTCTTGGATAGAAAAGAGAAGCTGACCCCAAATTTGAAGAAACAAGAAACAAACTTCATGTTTCCACAGGCTCAGGAACATCGTAAGAGTCTGCTGTTACTTCTTCTGCTAACCACAATCCTGGAAATAGAGTCTGCAATGAAAATTCAAAATTGAATTCAGAGTCAAAACAAGGATCAATTGTGTGTGTGAGAGAGAAGAAGAAGAAGAAGAAGAAGAAGAAGAAGAAGAAGAAGTTACATTCATTTGCTTCTGAACCAATCTCGGTCTCTTCTTTGGTCTTCTAGGAGGTCTTTTTCCAATTAGGGCTGAGAAATCTTGTTCGATTTCTTCTCTCAACAAAGAAACAGAGAATTTCACTTTCTCATTCTTGTGCTGCGAATCACCATCACCACCATCTTCGCTACCACCTCTCTTAACGCCAATTTCATGTCTCCGTAGAGAAGAAGAAGACTCGATGATCCTGGTGGATTCATCACCAGGTTCGTTACAAGCAGCTCTTCTGGTCCTCAAATTCCACGGCCGAGCAGCTGCAGCAACAACATCGCCGTTGTTGTCACCTCCATTTCCCAAAACGGAGAGCTTAGGTTTGTTGGCATCGTAGACGAGATCGACCCTGAGCTCTCCAACAAGTCCACCGTTGTGAGATCTATGATCGGGAGAAGGAGAAGAAGAAGAAGGAGATCGGTTGTGGTGAGGAAGCTTGACGCAGCGGAGGAATCTTTGCTGACCCCATCGGAGATAAGGTAAGGTGAAGTTATGGAGGCGTTTGGATCTTTCCGGTGGAGGAGGAAGCTCCATTGATTGATTTTTTTGGTTTCTCTCCGCCGTGGGAAGATGGAAGATTCCTTTCTTTCTTTTTGTTAACAAATTATTTTTGGTGAGCTTTCTTCTCTCTTTCCTTTGGAGCAACTTCAAAGTTTTTTTTTTTTTTTTTGGATTTCGTTTGTGTGTATTTATTCTCACAAATTTTTTATTTTATTTTAATTTCTGTTCGAATTATTCGTAGAGAGATAGAGAGAGTTAGGGACGCGATTGTAACGTTGTACTCGTTTTTTTTCCGACCCGTCTAAAACCAGCTTCACAACTTTGTTACTATAAAATACGCTTTTTTCAAAATTTAGGGGAATGACTAATGAGTGTTTTAGAAAACTAATTTTATAATTTTCTATAGAGCTTTGATCGTTCAGGTTATTATTTTTTAATAATTTTCTATAGAATTAATTAAAGTTCAATATATTATTGAAGGAATTATCAAGTATTTTTGGCTCTCTTGCTGCTTTTTTCTTTTCATTACACAACAATGATGGGTTACGTTACGTATAAAAGAAAGTGTTAGAAAACTTGCTTCTCAGGATTTCACCGCCCGCTCCGGTTCGGTTAATTTTGTCAGCTTTTTTATTTTAGTTAGATTTCTGGTAGTCGTGAAATAAACAAACTTAATCATGCTATCGAAATCAATATACATCATCTTATACAGTAACATGTCCTTTTCTTTTAACCAACTCTGATTACTTTCCCTCGCGAAAATTTAAAAAACTAGAAGCACAGATTTTTTTTTTTTTTACATCAACTAGAAGTATAGATAAGAAGAGTCAATAAAAGTTTTCTAAAAACTGTAACTATTTACACTCTTCAAAGAAAAAGTCTCAGCTTAATGCAAAAACAAATAGCGGATTATGTGGAAGAGAAGGACGAAATGGTATGGGATGTTCCAGAAACAAACGATTTTTGGCTTTGTCCAAGCCAAAATGTATAGTAAGGAAAGGTAACCTAAATAAAGACTCTTCAAAATCTTAATATCTCAAAGACTATACAAATAAAAATCTATCAACGGGCTTCTTCACATTGTTGTGCTAAACAGAAAGTAAAACCCGAAAAAAAGGAGAGTAAAAAGTGAGTGAAACCTCTCAGTGTTTTCAGGATGAGGTTGAGCAGTCTGGGGGGGTTGTTTCGGACTTGATCACACGGGTATTGTAAGAACCACAGCTACCACATTTATGGTACAACCAATGGAACCGTGTAGTTCCTTTGCATTCACAATCATTACATAGAATGTCCTGAAACATTTGTGTGTGTGTGTCATGAAATGACTAGAGTAAATGAAATAGTCAAGAAGCAGCAGTTTTCTTGTTTCTCACCTGACAGCGATTTTTATATTCCTCTGGAAGTTCTTCTGCAGCTAACAGTGCATCAAGCATACCGAAATAAACCTGTGGAGTTTGCAAAAGAAACGAAGGAGAAAAGGTTCAGTGAACGATATTTGTGTGATGTGATTTGCAAATTACGCTCTTGACGGGCGGGGAGCATCTTACAGCCATATCTCCTAATGATTTTCCACAGATTGGACATGTGTAGTGGCTGCAAGTGTAAGCCTGAAAGACCGGAGTAACAGTAAGTGTTTTGATTTTAGGCGATAAAAGTGAACTTAAGTTTAATGAGAGAAAGAGAGATTTGCAAACCTGGAAGCAAGCTGAGTGCATGTAGTGACCACATGGTAAGGCTCTAACTGCTTCACTCGATGTGAAAAGAAATTCGCAGCAAATGGGACAATTTGTCTCGAGGCTCTTCTCGAGGCACTTGTGGTTTACTAGTTTCATCCCCAGGCAACAGTTACATGTCATGCAATGGAAAAAATCGATTCCTAGTCCTTCCCCGACCCGGCAAAGGTTGCAGAATGGACAGTGGTAAACAGCCCTGAAGGCAGATAATTGTTTCTGAAGGTTAGAATAGCTTCTGAAGTTTGATTTTTGACAGTGGTAAATTGATTCGTTTATGCATCAAACTGTTGGGTTTTGCTTACCTTTCATCATCAAAAAGTTTGCAAATACTGCAATAGTGCTTTGCCATTGGGAATCCGTCGCATGAAGGTGTTGTGCAGATGGGACCAACAGGTTGCACCTTGAGGCACCGCATACAGAGCATTTCCGTCACCAATTTTCTGTAATATGTTTCAACAAAATCACATATCACAGAGAGAGAGAAAAATACGAAAAAAAAGAAGTTTCAATTTAATTAGGGGAGATTGGCATAAGATCTTACCTATCCATGGAGTGGTCGCTTACTTTGTCATGGCAAAACCTACAAGTGAACAACTGATCACAACAAGCAGCTCGAAGCTTGCAGTTACGCTTGTAATGCTCGCATCCATATATCTGTTTCTCGGGATCTCGAAAAGACGGGGAACATCCAAGTTCAACTTCACCATTTAATGCAGTTTCTGTTTCCTTAGGTAACTTTTGCTGAGCCGCAATCCATCGACTGATAAAAGCACCAACAGAAGAAATTTAAAATAAATGTTACTCTAGAACAAAAAGGATTCGGGGTATGAGGGACATGTGACTGAGATTATAGGTTCTCTATAGTTCAGAAGACTGTTCAATGAAGGACACACACACATACATACACGGGAAAATAAAATGAGCATATTATTTCGGCTTAGGAAACCGGGAAAGACAGGAGCACCCCTTATACTCTTCCACATTGCAAAAAACAATTTCAAGTAATACAGGGAAATGTATTATCGCTTTGGGGTGTTCTAAGTTTATGTCAGGTATGCTGTATGCATGAAAATGTGGAATAAAGGATCCATGCATGGAAATAGTGAAAGAAATCTGACCTGGTCCTCCAATTTTGTACGAGATAATCTTTTCTCCTCGGATCAAGTGTTGAGTCCTGATAAACCTTCCTGATTTCAGCCTCTAGTTCGTTCTGATTCATGCGGAAAATATCTTTCCACCCCGGCTTAAATAGTTCACCAGTTTGGTCCAAGATTTCTTGATGATCATTATCTATATGAAAAATAAACTTGACATAAGCAAAAAAAACTTAACAAAGAGAAGCTACAGTAGCCAGCTTAAGTATGAGTTATGAAGTCCAAAGAAGAAACATCTAAGGCTGCATTAAACAAGTTAAAATATTAAATTGGTGAAAAATAGTTTAGCGATTGCTTTTACCTTTCTGTGGACTAGGTTTGGATGTTTCTGTTGAGGATGAGTCGGGTGATCCTTTCCAGCATTCATTAAGCCATTCATCGAACATTGTGTTCTTGGTTGCCTGCTTCCAGGTATCCATCATTCTGTTTTGCTCATCTTCAGAAAGGGCAGACGTCACCCATGGTAACATAGATTGGAGAACTTCAGCACCCGTTGTTCCGATTATACGACCCACAATCTTGTCTTGCTCTTGAATGGAGAAGTGTTTGTCAAATAGAGGCCATAGCTCCAGTTCCTCCAAGAAAATATGCTGATCCAAAGTGATTTTAATGGATTTGCACATCCCTTGTAGCTTTGTAGCCAGTTCATTGTACTTCTTCTTGCAGTCACTGTTATCGATATCAGTCTGAACAGTGTCAGTTTGAGCTATGTCCCCCATCACAGAATCACTCTGTAACTTCTCATGAAGAATTGAAAGTTCAGTAAGGACACTATAAATATCACCAAACAACTTCTCCTCCTGTTTATGGTCGAGCGTGTAAGAGTGACTGACATTGTGAAGCGTCTCCTTCGATTCCAGAGCTGGAAATAGGATGTCATCTTCTGCATTACTATGAGCCTTGTAGAAACCCCAGAGTAGGTGAAATCGACCGATAAATTGACGAATAAATGTCCCATCGCAATCAATGAGCTTTCCAGATTCAACATCAAGAAACTCTAGATCTTTGCTTATGGCCTTGTGAAACTTGAATATTGTAGCAACTGGCCGCTCGGCATGTCCAGTACCAAAGCTGTTACTATCCATTTCCCAAATAAAGAGGCTGGAATTAAGAGCGGGTGCAGCAGAGTTTAGCGAAGAAGATCTCATAGCTTTAGCTGCTGGAAGAGAACCAAGTTCCAGACAATTATTGTTAACTCCGAGATCCGGAACACAGCATGACCTACCATTTCCAGATGGCTTGCACCCATTTGCAACTTCTGACGAGTGCGTGGTGGTTTTTTTTTCACAAGACAATACAGCAGTTCGCTTAGCTGGCCTTTTATCTTGATGCTGGCAACACGATTCTGTACTCCTACTAGTGCATGGAACAGACGCACAAGTATTACATGACTGAAGGTTGACTTCTTTAATGTTGTTTAGTGTTTTAACAGGGCATAAACCATTCCCGTTTGGAGACAAGCATTCCCCGGCTTTGCGTCCTTTGCATGCCCAACCAGAGAAAAGAGTAACGAGAGCAACATCTGATTTAGGTGCTGAGGCCACAAGGAAAGCATGTAATCGTGCAAAATTGTGAGTAGCTAATAATTTTGAAAGAAGGTTAAGTTTAAGGCAATACAGTAGATTGTACCTCCAGCTTGCAAGTTCTTCAGAAAATTCTTAGCTTCATCTTCTGTTAAAGATGCCGTCAACCATGGCAAAACTCGTTCAATTAGTCTCAATGGCATTATACACAGGCTTTGGTAGAGAAGTTCTTGTTGTCTTTTCAAGCTGAAGTTCTTTCGTGCAAGGGGTAGCACCTGCAAACATTACAAGTTAGTTGACATCCAGATATTGGTATCATGAATCTCATAGCATATGGTATCAACTGATCTTATGCCAAACTTTCATAGTTTCACCTGTTTACAAAATCAAATGTCACAGCACTTCAAAGCAATAGTTCACCTGAATTTCCTCGTTGTGGAAGTGTCTTTGAATAGTTTCCATTATTTGATCAGCATGTGAGCACAACTTGGTGTAAAATTCAGCAGCGGAAGTAGAAGAGGCTCCAGCACTCTTGATATTTTCAATTAAGCATCGAAACTCGTTAAACTGATTTTCTTCTTCATCGTGCTCCTCAGAAAATGAAAACTCCCCATCTACTGCTGGAAATATGATCTTGTCCTCTGCAAGACTGCAACGAGAAAAGAACAGATCATCTCAAAAATAGTCCCATGACATTTCAATCTCTGTCAGAAGACAAAAAAATTGTATGTTGATATGAACG